AAACGCATGATACTTGTTTAAGATAAGTTTCATTACACTAATTTATTGATAATTATTCTAGGATTGAAATCAACTCAGAATGTTACTGGTAAGTTATATAAGTTGAAACTAAATAATTATGGGTTATCATTTTATTGAATTAATAAAACAAAATAAGAATCCGGTCATTTTTAAAAGTGAAATTGTAATAATTAAATTTTATTGAAAATGAAATAAAATAACTAGCTGTTTCTAATTACAAAATAGACTAAATTAACTTACAGAGAAATTTTGATATTGTCTGAATGAAGTGCGAGAAATCAGCATAAAGTTTATAGTTGAATAGTGGATTAAGGAACTGAGTAATTAAATGTGGAAGGGAATTCCAGAAGTATTCTCCTTTATGAACATTCTTAGTGAATTCAAGAAAAGAGTAAGTTAAAGTAAGTATACAATTGTAAGAGTAATATTCTTAATTAATGAAAACTTGACCATCAGAAGTCAATCATCATCTGTTACTTTGTGGATTTCGTAATCAGTTGGTGGGTATAGGTTGAGTGGGTGATTAGCCCGATCTCTACCACCCAGGTTACCGCTCACGTTAGTTCACGAGACATTCGTCTCATTATCCAGGAGGCACGACGCGAACGTGTGAGTCGGATTTTGCCTCCCATCATCTGTTACTAGAGAAAATAATATCAATTAATGATTAGTTTAAATAGCTCAGTTTTCATTAGTTCAGTTGAGCATCATGTTGTCTATTATCTACAGTTTCGATTGTATAACTGTTGTTTTTTTTTTTTAATTTCACACTGTTCTTGAGTCACCTAGAAACAACCACCAATCATATTTAGGGATTCTTACCAATAACAGGAAAGCCTGTAATGGTAGTTACAATAAACAAAAGTGGTATGTCATTCAGCATAAAAACCAATTGTATTCCATGACTTATGAAATAACGTTTATCGATTATTTAATTATTTTTATTAAATTAAATACACAGAAAGTATGTCCCAATTATCGCAATTACAACAAATAACTCACCATGGATGTTTCAAATCCAATAAATCAATACTAAAGTGAATTTAATAAAATGGTATTCCTAATAACTATGAGGATACATAGACTGTGCTGAACATGTATAACTCTGAGGTCAATATTAGATATTCATTAAAGAATTGATTTAATTGAAACGATTCCGACACTTCATGTTATGTATTTTATTTAGAGATCCGTTATTACTTTATTGAAGTTTAGGACCTGATACTCTAAATCAAGAAATATGAGTGCGTAGTTATAGTTCTGTATTTAAGCACCCATTACAGTAAACAAGATGTCTGAAAGTATAAAGAGAAAATCAGTTTAAATTTACTATTAACAGCTTGACACAGTCTGTTTTTGTATAAGGAGTGTCAATAATCGTCCCTATATATTTCCACGTTACTGGTAAACATTTTACTTACGCCTGTTACTCCCAATGGAGTATAGTTCGCCGACCAGCACTCTCCAACCCATTGTATCCTGGGCATTCCTTTCCAGTTCTATCCAATTTTTGTTCATTTTTCTCATGTCTGTTTCCATTTCTCGACGTAATGTGTTCTTTGGTGTTATCCTGATTCGTTCGATCGTTGGTGAGGTAACAACTATAGGAAGATCTGTGTGAACTGCTTCGACGTCCGGTGGATTCAACAAATCTGGCTTATTCGGGAGTTCTTCAAAGTGTTCTACCCATCTGTTTCTCTTTTCTTGAGTCGCAGTGATTGGCTTGCCTTCTTTGTCTTTGACTGGTCTCTCTGGATTACTATATTTCTCTACCAGTTTCTTGGTTGCATCACAAAGTGGTCTAATATTTCCTTCCGTTGCAGCTTTTTCTACTGTCGCTGCTAGCTCTTCCACGTAATTCTGCTTGTCATCTCTAATGTTCTTCTACACTTGTTTGCTTCAGAGTATTCAGTCTGTGTTTTGACCTTCTCTGCTCCTGTTCTGCTGTCCTTAATTGTTGTCTTCTTGTTCTTGTTTTCTTGAATCTTGCTCATGGCTTCGATAGAGATCCATTAATTATTGTGATGCTTCTTGCGACTAAGAACCTCCTCACATGTTGAAGTTAGTGCCTCCTCGACATTTTTCCAGTTGTTCTCCATAGTAGTTTCCTCTTCTTTGAGTAGATGTTGTAAGTTTTGGAACCTGTTACTGGTATCTATCTTCAATTAGTTGAGTTTCGATAATCCAATGAGAAGACCAAATTTATCAGAATTATATGATATATTTGCGTAATACGTTTCGAATAATCTGATCACACATATATTTGTTAAGACATTTTTATATAAAAATTAAAAGGTCAACTAGACAGTTTGTCAGTACCTCGAAGAAAGGCTGTATTAAACCTTTACAACACCATTTCTTTAGTCGTCCAGTACATTCTTAGCTTCAGTTTCATCTTGGCAACCGGTTTTCAGTCTTAATAATTTTAACATAATTACTGTTTAACCTTGCTTAGGATGATGTTCATTCTTGATCATATGTAATTGAGAACTAATCTTCATATCACAAAGTTTAGATTTACAAATAGTGAAAACTGAACTTTGATATAATAGAAAAACAAATTTTCAACCTACCATATTTGAAATAAATAAAACTTTAAATTCTATATTTGATCTGTCTATGAAAGAATAAGAATTCTTTTTTAATTCATACAAAAATAGGAGACGAATTAAACACAAATATACCGAACAAAAACAGCAAGGTAACATCAAATGAAGAAATTATGCGTAACAAAATATTTACAATGTTTATTGATTGATCATGAAGTTAAGATAAGTCTCAGCAAGTTCAGTATGAGTCAGACGAGTGGATGACTTGAATGGAATTTAATTGGTTGTATTTTTGGTACTGAGTTTTGTTGATTATTGTTGTTCATCGAAATACAACGTTGTAGGATTTCGGTTTATCAGTATTAGGCAGATTGTAAGATACTTTCTGACTTTTCTAAAGCTGATAGATCAGATTCAGTTCACAATTATATTTCATACAACTAATTTCATTCACCACATTAAAAGAACAACAAGTCGGGTTTCTACCTGCTTTACCGAATATATTTCCAAGAACCTACACCCTAGATGGTCAAAACGGCCAGATGAGACTACAACTACTAAACAGAGGATACAATGTAGATGCAATGAGTAGATTTAGAGTGATCAGTGAACAGTTCAACCATAAAGTATCAAGATTCATGGCAGCCATAGTAATTAAAAGGTTTAAACCTGACCTTTGCATTCAAAAAGACTTCATAGTTAACCTTCAATTGACTTCGTAACAGCAAGGAACTAAACATCCTGACCCTTGTTCTCTAAGCAGCTATGATCACAATCTAGTGAGTTTAACTCCAATGTTTTTTTCTTTGCAAATTTCCTAGACTTTTGTTATATTACGTGACAATAATATATCAAATATTTTATAACAATCAGCTAAAGGAACTATGAAAAGTCTGTTTCAAAAATCTATTTCTCAATATCTTTTATAGTCCAATCAACCAATTTGTTATTGAATAACAGTTCATTTATTCAAATTTATCATTATGTTGCTTTATTTTTTATTTATATTAACACATAGGTATTGGTACAAGGAGGCACCAAATACATATGCGCCACACGAATCTCAATTGATTTGTGTGAGGGCTGTGATACTGCCCGGGTGCCCAAACCGAAACAGGTGGTTTTCTTAGGAGGCCACACCCCGAGCCTTTGACCTGAACGTCTGATCCACAAGGCAGTGGAGTATCGTAAGGAGGTGCAGTCCCATGGTAGCCGGTGAACAACGATTGGTTCATACGCCATTTGTTCCCTCAGGATACTGGAGCCAGCCCATATGCACCATTGGTTTGGGATCCGGTTAAAGCGCCAGACATTCGCTTTTCGTCCTCTTATTTTCGTAAACAACACCCCCGCCACGTGAAGGCAGTGAGTAGGACTTCCCTGGCAGAGGCTATATACACATGGCCATGTGAGAGCATTTCGAGAGGGAGAGCGGACTCTCCCCACTCTCGGCCGTACCAGGGCATTTGGGGGCTGATTATGTTGCTAATTGGAGATAAATAATCTGATTGGTTTTTATATGTCTTTGTTGCTTTGTTTTAAATTATATGGTTAATAACTTCATTCAGTTTTATCAATTTTTTATTTTTGATTTAAAATGCTCAACTAAACTAATAAGTAAGTAATTGATTTGAAACTGATCAAGATCATCTCTACAAACACTTCTTTATGAAGTTCAGTACAAATTAATGCCTAGAGTGTAAAGTTAAAAGTATTAACAATGGTAATTAACTTTCAACGAATAACTGACTAGATTATTAAATAGTAAAGCTATTTTCCTCTCCTGCCATAGCTTATTTTATCTCCTTGTTTGATATTTATAAGATTATTTGATTATATTAATGAGCAACACTGACAATAACTGTCTTATTACTTGATAAGTCGTCAGTAGAACTCTTTTCAATGGTAAGACTCAATATAGTCTACTTATCTTTGATTTATCAATGTACATAAATGTTATAATCATATGTATGTCATTATATATCCTTTCATGTATCATAATTATCATTCAAACTTTTTAAGCCTTAATTAAGCATACATTATGTGAATTAACTGGGTATGACTTACTCATTCAAAAACATTATAAAGTCTAATGGAAAAGTCAGTAAATGATTCAACATACTTATGATGATATTTTAAAAAATTTCTTAAACATAGAACAAGTGAACATAACCCTTAAAAAGTTTCCATAACATTAATAACTAAGAGGAAATTGATTATTTTTTCTAAAATATAATAACAAAACACAATATTACGGTAGATAAAATATTTTGCACCAGAATATTTGTCAATTCTTTGTCCAATTTTTTTTTTGAAAATTCTGGACAATAACACAATTGTAAAATGTAACTCTTCACATTATGAGAAAGATAGATGTTTATGTATACAATCAAGTCTAGTAAAACTCATAATCCGATCAACAATTTATTCGTTAAAATCAAACCTTTTGTTAAGATCAAATACTGATTGGTTAATTATCTAATTCCTATAAATTTGAATAGGCTATTCCAATTAGGGTTTGTTGATTTGCATGTGTACTCGTGCCTGTGCATTTGTTATTTTTTATTATTTTTTTTCTCTAGTTGATTGGTCGAAATCGCTATTGGTATTCACAATTCAAATATTAAGCTTGTGATTTGCATGTATACCAACTTTGTGTACATAGTATGGCGTGTTTGATACGTACTGTTTTTCCCAGAAAGGTGGATGATTCCAATGGATTATGTTCGCCTAATGTGGATACTAACATGCCTTTAGAAGAAATTCCAATGGAGGAGGTGAGTGTACAATTTTCAAACCTTCAGTGATAATTGTAGAAATGGTGTTAGATTATATTATTTAATATTATATCCATTCTCATATTGATCGGTTTTTCATTAACAATAAGGAGTTCAATTGTGCTGTTAGCCCATAATAATTTCAGAATAAATTAATTACATTTTAAGATAAATTATTATTTAATTGTGACATACGGTAAGGACTTTTTTTATACCTAAGTCAGTTCAATAATGAATCGATATGCACACAAATTTTTGTACTTGTTTAGGTTCCTTCTTATAATATACTTTGTCGTTTTAGTGTCAAGAGCATAAGATCATAAAGGGAGTATTTTTCACCCAGTAGAACTAAAATGATACTATAAAGCTGATATTCAATCCTTATATAAGTAATCAAGTAGATAGTAAAGAGGTGAAGTTAATTAGCCAATTAGCATACTTCAGAAGTTGCATTACACTTAATAGACTTGCAAAATTGTGGCGTGGATATCTATAGTTTGGTTGGTAACTATCAACTATCATCATTTTAGCTATCAGCGGTATAATTGAACACATTTCAGAAGAATTGTATGTACCCACTGATACATTCTATGCTAATATATAGCCTATTGAAAATCTTCGAAAATTACAGGCAGCCAAAAATGTGTATCTTAAAATTACTGTTCGAGTATGGTAGAACCACTGAATAAATGATGTAATTATCACACGTAGAGTTCTAGACTAAGAAATTCAGTCGGTAAGATTACGAATCTACATAAAAGAAGTTAGCGAGATCCCCGTTAAGAATCATTCCTTCCTCAGAATTAAAATAGAATTGTCAACCAAATTTCCGCACCATAATTTACTACAGCTAATGTAATTAATCGGATTTCATGAACCAACTTAATCTCTTCAGTAGAATGAAACGATCAACGACCTTGGACCACTTATCGGTTAATCGAAAACTAGTTTATAGTTATAAAACAAACAATAAGAAGAAAGCAATATCATTATAATGGATAAACAGTTTTGACTCGAACAATCGGCCTTTATATGTTAAATTAGGAGTGATAGTTGAGTTTTATGATTAGTGAGAGAATTCTTGGTAGCCGTAAAGTTGAATAATTATGTAGATAGTTCTTTAAATTCAAAATTTTATGAACTGTTAAGTTACCTAGACAAATCCATAGATTATGTTTAAATGTTATGTACATTTCAATTCAATTTACTTTCTATTATTTTTTCCCTGAAGAAACCTGCAATTTTCATCGTCATTTCATGGATCACTCTAATCCATTTCTATTCTTGGGTGTTTACGTGTTCATTAATTTTAAGCATACCAGGGATTAAATATTGATAGATTTTACTCAGTTCTTACACAGCACTTAACAAGGTACAAGCTATCTAATATTAAGTTTTAGATTTCATGCAAAAATGCAGGAGCTGGTATCTTCAGTTAGTTTCTTTCTTTACATTTCACTGAGCTCTAGGATGGCAGCCGATTCAGTGGGAGTTTTTGTTTTATCAACTTTTTTGAGTCAAATAACTCTTCGAATTTAGTTCAAACCTTTCTTCGCGTTTTCTTTTTTTCTGGCGCGTGATTTGTGTACCTCTGTTATAACAAATTTCCTTAAGTTAAATATGTCACATACATTTCGATTCATTCAGATATAGAACATCATCGCCTTGACTAACTCTCACATAACACCTTAGTATTGTCCACGTTTTGGTTTTTCCTATTCATAAAGCGAACTTACCGTGTTTGGATACTAGTTACACACTTGTACTGTAATACAAAGTTACGTATTAGAATAGTGAACAAGGTGGTGGTTCTTAGAAAGATGTGAGAAGTTGCCAAATCCCATTATTTTTTTGTATGACTAGTTAACGACAGAAGTATGACTGTCTGCTATGTTTGATCAGCTATTTGAGAAACCAGAGACGGTTATGAAATTCTTAGCAATAAAGTGAAATTAATGATCGTTTGTCGTTGAATACTATTTAGTTGTGATTTTAAGTATAAAGTACAAAACTTGTCGGGAAACTAGCATTTCTAATGTTAACTAAAGACCTTAATACTCCCCGGTACTGAAGCAAAAATACGTCTTGGAACAGGTGATATGGAAGGAACCTGTTTAAAAAATTTGTTTCTGTAGTTCTGATAGTTTTAGTAACCAACAGTCCCGAATGACACGTTTTGGGTCGTATAGAAACTTTGAAGTCTCATCATTTGTAGAGACCGGAGATTATACCGAAACAATTATATGTTTCATGCTAGATAAAAGTTCTATCAAATGTTCAGTTCAAATTAGCAGTATGATATATCCTATATTTTATTACTAGACACAGTTAAAATAATCGACAAACAAGAGACCCTGTTACTATCTAACCACTTTTTTGAAAGACCAATAAATCAACAGAAAATAATCTATTCACTTTTGAATATCAACTACGGAATTAACAAAATTACAAAACTAAACATTTGGCTGTAATCGGTTGTTATAAACAATCAGCAAACAATTTCGTTATAAATAACGTAGACTTCATCGATGTTAAATGGTGAAACCCAGATATAGACAACTCAGGAAGTCGCTATTCAGGCTTTTATGATGTTCCAGTTGAACAGTAGTAGTGAGAAGAACATATTTTTTTTCGGTAATATCCTTTCAGAGCTCTTATAAAATATATTTATTAACTACACCAAGTTCTGATATAAATCACTAGTTTAGTATAGCTATCAGTCTTAAAACACTGAAAACATTCTCCAGTAATTCGTCTCAACAGTAAATTTACAATAAAGAATTCTAGAATGGGAATGCACCAACTTCCATTTAAAATAACACTGTTTATAGAACGTTTATATAAGTCAATCGTATAAGTGAATACTACCATAAGATGTGGTACTTTTGAATTTTTTTATCGAGAAAATAGTTTTAAACTTCCAGCTTCAGGAAATACGTAGTTACAGATTCATGTTGTTACGGTCACAAAACATTTTCTTCTCGGATATCTGGAATGATTGATTAACTGATAGAAGCGGTGACCAGTTGAGTTCAACCGGGTCAGTTGTGAGATAGTAACTCACTAATGACAATGGTGGATGTGTCGCTCAACCCCGTGGATTAGTTGGAGTTAGAAACTAACACTATTGGATGCTGGCTCAGTGGTCTAGTGGTTAAGCGCACGCGCGTGAAACTGATAAGTCCTGGGTTCGAATCCCGAGAGGTGGGGTCGTGGGTGCGCACTGCTGAGGGGTCCTACAATAGGACGAAATGGCCATTCAGTGCTCCCAGGTTTTCCATGGTGGTCTAACTTCGATTGACTCATGATCTCAACTATTGAAATTACTACAATCTCCACAAAACTCCTTCTGATAACTGATTATTGTTTATCAAGTATCTTGGATATATCATGGAAATCCTTCTGACTGTACACAGAGAAAATAACTACGCTTCTTAATATTATGGCTGTAAAAGATTAAACAGATAATTTTCAGGTTTCTGTTAGGTTTGTTTTTGATAAATTGTATCGCTGTTGAGGAGCGAAATCGGTAGTAATCTGATGTAACAAAGTTAATCTCAAATTTTCACTTGTATTACATAGAAATTCATCGTTTTCAACACACATTCACCATAGTTAACTTTACTAGTAGTGGTTAACAAAGTCAGTAGTTGTCAGCTACGTTCATTGTATATTAATTTCTTAGAGTGCATGGTAGCTACATAACACCACCAAACACAGTTAGATCACAAAAGCAAATTAGTCATTTGTAATCATTCGACTTATATTTTATGTACATTATTCACGATAATAAAATAAATGTAAATAAGGTGATAACGATAAAACTGAAGTTTTATTATTCACATATTTGTGAAATTCATAACTATGATAAGATTGTATGAATGTGACGAGAAAACAGGTCAAACAATACAAGCTTTTTAGATGGAATGACATATAAATTGAAAAATGTGTTTGTTCAGTTGACATAATTCATAAATGTAACTATATGATAAATGCACAAATATTATGTGATGATCATGAGCGTAGTCTGGACGAACTGAATGATGCCAAATGAGCATAGTTTTCAAATATCGATATTTATTTAAGTAGATTTAATTAATGGTGTTGGTCGTTCGTTTGGTTGTTCGTGTTGTTTGTGACCTGACCTAATTCTAATACCACCGTCACTATGTCAATCTTGCTCGCCACAGTTTGAATATCGATTCAAAGTGTAGTACTCAAACTACTAAATTTTCAACAAAGTCAAAGTGATAAAGGATCACCAAGTAATATTTGATCATGTAGATTGTTGACAACTGTTTTTGGAATTTTACTTTATCTGACAACACTAACAAGATCACTTACTAAAAGCATACCATAGTCAGGTGTTTAATAAATACTCCAATATTATTATTTCCCAAATCTCTTTCTGCTTAACTTACTTACATACGCCTGTTACCCTTCATAGACGAGCATAGGCCGATGTTTCTTCTAACAACCGGAGCAACAATTAATATAGGTAATTAAATGTCTGTCTAAGGTTATTTTTAATTCACTGTTTCTATCCATGCTTTGTTTGGATTATTTTTCAATTTTACATTTAACTTATCATATATGTTGTGTTAGGCCAGAATTTATCTTGATATTTATGCCTTAATTCTACTGGGACATGAGTGACCTAACAAATCAGTGTTTGGTAGTCATTTATGTGTCAATTGACTTCAAATCATGCTTATTATGTGCTTAATATTTTACTGAAGAAAAAATCTATTTTTCTGACTGGTAGTTTTGTTTTCTGGTATCAGTTCAATTGAGAGCTAACTATGATAATTCAGTCTCATGAGCAGTCACTATTCATCCAAATTGTATCGTTGCGTTCATCTTTCGATCGGTATTCGATTCATTCAATATAACAAATACATTCATCGTTCACTTATCAATTTCTTGTCCATAACCATGTTATACAAACCATTTTCATAATCATTAATTTCTATAACAATCTTATTATATATATATATTTTCAACCCCTCAATAACGTTTTCATTGTGTGAATATGAAGAACAAGTCTTTTTCGTGCTGTTTTTTTCTATTTATTTGCTTACTTCTGTTCCGGTGTTCTTTACACTCGATGGGTTGTTGTTGTTGATGTTGTTTTATGTTCCGCGTATCAATTGATTTTAGTGTCTAACTTCAAATTAAAAATAAAATGCTGACCAATAGATAAGTTATTTTCGACCCATTCACTTTTTTTATTTGTCATTTTCCTTTAACTAAATAGAATTCTATGCTGTTGCACGTAATACATTTAGCTTACCTTTTCTGAAAAGGTTATATCAATTATAATGACAGAAAGGCTTTTTATTTTTAGTACGGTCTAATAGCTCAAACGACTATTTAACTTGAAGATTACTTTTGCTTGTCCATAGTAATCATCAATCAATAAGTCGTCAATTTGATATAACGTTAATTAGGTCTCATCAATATCATTGTTATCTTTTAAACAAATTTCTTCTTTCAATGATTAAGATCATGAGTCAGTTGACGTCAGGCCACCATGGGAAACCTGGAAGCACTGGACAGCTGTTTCGTCCTATTATGGTACTCCTCAGCAGTGCGCATCAACGACCTCGCCCCCTGCTAGATTCGAACCCAGGACCTACTGGTCTCGCGCGCGAGCACTTAACCACTAGACCACTGAGCCAGCATCCAACGGATGTTAATGTCTAACTTCAACTAATCCACGAAATTGAGCGACACATCCACCATTGTCTTCAGTGAGCTGATATCTCACAACAGACCTGGTTGAATTCCACTGGTCACTACTACTTCTTCTTTTTTTTTAAAAAAAAAACAAGACCATTTCACCATTTCATGTATACACTATTTAGCATTGTGTTACTTTTGTTTTATAGATTTGTCACGAGTTTTTATGTTGTTGTTGTTTTCGTTTTTGTTGTTTTTGTTGTTGTTGTTGTTATTGTTCTGTCTTATTTTATTCCAGTCTGTCAGAAATATTTTAACTGAGGAACAAATATATGATGATGAATGGTCAATTAGTAGAAATAAATTATACTTTATTGTAAGTTTTTGCAAATGTTTATTTATATGATTAATGTATCGTATCTGCAAGGTAATTTCATAGAATATATATATATATATATATATATATATATATATATATCAGTTATTCAGTTTAACCAGTATTCTCTATAGCTTGTTCTGAATCAGGTATAATTTAGCTCTTAAAATAGATCAAGAAATATAGATTTATATTTGGTGGATCATTTTTGTTATGTAAAATTTATAATTTTACAAGTTGATAACTTTCAAATTCGATTGTGTGCCAACATTACTTGCTGCTAGGTAAATAATGTTTGTAGGTGAATCGAAATTAGATAAGTGATTGACAATAGTAATGGTCTATAATAAAATAAAAAACAAATTGTCTTATCAAAATGGCATAGCATTTCCATTATACCCATAGTGTATCCGGAGTATGTGATACCTGAAGCTGTACTTTGTAATTTCATGTTATATTTTGTCTTATGATTGATCTAATTTGGCAATTGGTGTTAAATGTTATCAATTAACTAACTCTACATTGTCAAGCTACTGGAATACTTTTTACTCATTATTCATAATAACATTTCGTTTGATAGAAATAAGTGATTTTGAGTTGCTCAGATTGATAGCTGTATGCAACTTGAACAGTAGAATTCGGTTAACACTAGAGGACTAGACAAGCATAACAATGATCACTGCTCAGTGACCAATCGATTGTAGATATAAAACGAACTTGCAAACTACTGCTTACTGGTATTTAATGATAAACATGTGGTATCTTGTTTTCGTGCAAAACTTTTTATCTATAGAAGCAATTCAGTAGGAACTATTTTAAATGACGGAGTTAAAACCATTGAGAATTGTTTACCAATAGCTGATTCGATAGAATGCAGTGTCGTATAACTTAGTGTTGTAACCTTTGGACATATGATTAATGCTTTATTTAATAATTTATTGCTCCAAATTATGAAATATTTTAAGTAGACTTATAACATGGCTTTTCTGACTTACTTGTTTGTGTTTACTCTACCCACCAACTATCTCATTGGTTAGTGAATACTCACTTTTAGTCAGTCTATGAAACATTTAAATAATTTGCGATAGAACTGAAATTAATGCATTTGGATCTAAATTTACTAGATGATGTTGGATTCTGAAAACTCTATAGTCTTTAGAACTTTATATGTGGTTCCGATATTGCTAGTACTTTATTCTTAGCTATGAGAACGTATTGTATGTTATAGTTTTTATCATTTAAAGCAGTATTTCTCATCATTTCCTAGAAGTATAGAAAAGATTTCCAATATTTAATGACCGGTTGTTGTTATTAGTTCATTCGAAATTATCAAAATATATTTACCGAGCCCTTATGTATCAACTATTTACTTTTCACGAAAGCCATCGTAAATGCTATGGTTATTTTATCCTAATTTCTAATTCAAACTTCAAAACTACCTCAAATTCGAAATATTCTCCCGCCTGGTAGCTAATTGGTAAAAGAGATCTCGGAGAATTTACAGAAAAAAATCAACCTGTCAAATAAGTGAAAACTGATGTGATCATATTTTACTTATTGCACAATCACACTCATTCCAGAACCCTAAACCAGTAATAAGTTTACTAATTGATTTTTAGTTTAAAGTGAAAGTTATACTCACTTGAAACTGGGCCATAAATTGTAAAATTCAATGTGGAAATTGTGCAAGTAGTTTTCTAACTACTCTTTTCTTCCTTTCTCTTATTGACTGTGGTTGAACAGTGAAAGTTTCTGAACTTGATTAGAAAACGCATTTTTATCGACTGTTAAGGCAATAAGGGTACTATATTTGAATGAGGATTTCATTAAATGCGGATATATGCAGAAAGACTATTAAAGATGAGGAAGTGCTAGTCAATTGTATCATTGTAATATTGGAAATCGTTTTTTTGATAGGAGATAAAGCCTTGAAATATCATCGCAATCTTCAAGACTGAAAACTTGTTTTTTCTAAGAGATTACTCAATAATACAATCAAGTTACATTCCAGTAACCTCTGAGCTAACATAAATGTAGTGTGATAGGTTGGTTTAAAAAATTTCAAACATTTTAGTCCCAAAATATGAAAAATACATCCCATTAATGTAACCGTTCTAAAGTCAAAAAAATATCTCATTTCTATATGCAGTTTATGCTGATGAGATTATTTAAAAAGACAACGAGAGCTTCATGTCTAAATCACTCAGCACAGAGAACTAAAAGGCATAAACTTGTAATTTAAGATTTTCTATGTATATTTATAACTTTGTCAAAGTAAATGGCATCATTAAGCCCAATTAACAAAGAGGAATAAGTTTCTATAATTGGTATATTAAACAGCTAATTTTTTTTTAACTAAATATCTGGTCTAATATCTGATAGATTTTAGGGTATAATTAACCAGTTCTTAAAACCCCTATCAATTAGATCTATGAGTCTATAACCTGTTCAGTTCAAAAAAGAATTCATACAACAAAATTTGCTTCATGTTACTGTTATACTGTTTTAAACTCATCTCTTACATATAACACAGTACCAATTAGTTAAATTCCATGAACAAGATCACGATCAAGTTTTTAAAGAATAGATGAAATATAACTAAAACTTGTAATATGTGGCTATATTGGAGGCAATTCACACAGGACACATAAACGCCAACTGAAACTGATCAATATTCATTTAAAAATATCAACAACAGGATAATCTCAAACCTATTACAAGTTGAATGACCAGTACCATTTTTTTTTGTTGTTGATTGTTTCTATAGAATCCATAACCTTTATCGATAGATATTTGTCATACATTATGTAAAAGGGTGCCTAACATAATAATAAATACTTATAATAGTGTGAATGCACTATGAGTGACATAATTTTTATTAAGTTAAACTCATTTTTAGAAATAAATAATAAAAAAAAATTAAGAAAACGAGAGATTTATCGGTCAAATATAATTTAATTATTTGATTGACATATACACATGAATGTATACTATCCAGGATTTTGTTAATCATCTACTATTGTTCACACATTTATTTAAATTCTTTATCTATGAACATGATTATTTAATAGGTATTAAGAGATGTTTCAAAACTTGAGTCTAGAGCTTTATGCATCTATGGAACAAAACTTATCTAACATGTACCATTAAATCAATTCACTACAATGCATGGAGATATTTTGCAATAATCTATTCAAATCTACACTTTCATCTATCAGATAATAGGAAACTAGTATTGTTTAGAGTTTGAACACATTTCACGTAATCTCAAAATCCTATAAATGTAGACTTTTATGACATCTTATTCGTTTAGATAAACAGGGAGGAAAAACCGATGAAGAATAGGGCATACTTCAAATCTCTGATATACCTAAACGAAAATCTTTTTAATAGTTTAACTGTAATTTTATAGTAGTATGTTTACTAGATAGGAAAAGGATGAGTCATATTTTGCTCCATAACAATGTGAGTAAATGAATATAAGAACTCATATATTCTTTAACTAATATAGTGAATTTGTGAGTTCTTTCTCACTTCGAAAGATTATCAATCTGATTCACTGGATTCTATTCACATTATTTATATTTAAATGCCAGTACATTCCTCTGAGTTGATAACCCATTAGATCACATTTGGTCTCAGTCTTTTAATAACAGATACACAAGTATATAAAGATTTTTATGAGTAAGTGAATTTTTAATATAGAAAAGGTCACTGTCTATATGTTTCTGATATATTAGTAATCTATGAATATACATCGTATGTATACACTATTATTTAACTTTTGGAAATAAGGCTACCCACATAAGCTCAGTTGTTTTTCTCTGAATAGTTAATTGATCTAAAATTAATCGACTAATGTCGAACTTATATTTTCATACTAGACAGGCTATAATATCTAAATGGATTTCGATTGGTATGATACTTGCTATATTTTCTTGTAAAAAAAAAAAAAAAAAACCCACACCAAAAAAATTCTTCTGAATACATGTACTTTTATGAATTTTTTCAAGAAGATCTCGACTGTGAATATTATTTATAGAAATTTTTCTTTTGTAATTTTTCATGTCAGCTAGGAGGAATAAAAGAAACACAGAATATGTTTTTTTTTCTTTCGTATGTAATTTTCATTAACTAGTTATCAAGATAAAAGTTGACGACCGACAATTTCGCTTGAAGTTATGAATGGGAATTATCTTTCAAATAGTATTCATGATTTAAGCAAAATTTCTATTGGATATCTGAAAATTTTATCCACTATTAAAAATGTATATTCCTTTTCTTATTACTTCTATATTTTAATTTATTTGGGTTCTTCATTAGTTGGATTCATGAGTTGATCTAAGCTCGACAACCATTAAAATCCTGGAAGCATTGTACAGCTGTTTCGTCCTAGTATGAGAACCATCAGCAGTGCGCATACAGGGTCCTGCATGTGGAACTTGAACCCTCATTCTGATAATAATTATCATGTGCTTACTAGTGACTAGCTTCAAGATGGATTTCCTGGAGTTCTAGTGAGAAGCCGTGACCAGTGGAGTCCAATCTATGTCAGGTAGACAGGTATCTACCTCGCACAATGGATGAATGATTGCGAGAGATCATGGATCGATTGAAGTTAGACATAAACACTGTTGGATCTCGGCTCAGTGGTCTAGAGATTAAGTGTTCACTCGCGAGATCGAGGATTCTGGGTTCGAGTCCTGTATGCGGGATCGTAGATGTGTACTGTTGAGGAGTCACATACAAGGACCGAACGGCTATACAGTGCCTCCAGGGTTTTCAGTGGTAGTCTAGCTTAGATTGAATCATTAATTCAACTATTAAAAAATTATTTCGATTGGTTTTTTTTTAGTAAAATGTACTTTTTGGGTTGATCTGCCCTAATGCTTCCAAATATTTTTGTACTATTTGTCATGAATGAAATGTTACCACAGAGAAATGATGAGAAAACTCATATTTTTTTTAAAGTATTTTTTTCTGTAATTATTTTCAAATCCAGGTCCAATTTTCTGTATCGGATTCGAATAAGATGGAACGTATCCTTGACAAACTAGCGTATTTCAATATTGGAAAAACACTTGACTCGTCCATTATGTAAGTGATTGTAATTGGTTCGCTTTACTTTAATCTCTTTATACTGAACTAATGTAGAAAGTTTGCAACTCAGGTGGAATTTTCTAGTATTATGTTTAATTCTGTAAGCGGGACAGTATCATCACCTCTTATTTGACATAGAAGTGGTCATGTTGAATATTCCATAAATATCAAGTGGTAGGTTTGTTCTGATGACATCGTATCCGACTTTTGTCTTCAGAGCTTCTCTTATTTTTATGTTTTATTTTGTTTCCATTAGCTGTCTTGTTCTATCGGCCACTTATCAAGTGCATAATGAAGTGACAATTGTTGATGCCACCCAGAATGACAAAGCTTCACAATTAAGCCATCCGGTCCAGAGAACTTTATATATATATATATATATATATATATATATATATATATATATATATATATATATGTAGTAACTAGTTCTGCTTCATACATAATTCCGGTATGAAACCTTTTTTGGATGTTGTTAACAGGCTGTACTAAAATATGTAATGTTTATTTAACTGATTATAACAATAAATCCAAAAGAACATACATCTTCGATATTTTGTTATTCTATTTTAGGGTTACAGAGCCCACGATAAATGTTCAAAAACGTAATAAGTAAGTAGTACATAAGCTTGTATTTTACTTAATTGATCATGTGTACTAAAAATTACTGAGGGATTTTCGAATATTTAGTGTTGATGTAGCGTTCATACTACTAATCTCAATAACCGATGACGAATGAAATGAGAACTCTAATAGTAGTATTATTGAATGTATGTTTAAATAATTGAAATTACCAGTGAGTACAACGATAGAAAACAAAACTGATTTATAATAAGAAGGAATAGGAATTGGAATAGACTGGTAATGGAGTAGTACTAGAATGACACTAGAATTTGATCGATCTTTAATTGTATAGAAATAATATTAGAAGAACCACTAATTACATTGGATGGAGTGGATTAACCTGGAATTGTAACAGATTAGTATGATCGGAAATAAACTAAAGTGTGTCAAAATAAACTGATGTGCTTCCCGTAATAAAAGCGTATCTAAAATACATTTACTACAGAAAAATGATCCAATAAGATAGAAAAATAAGGGTACCATAGAAAGGTATGCGGATAAGGTTTCAGGATTAGTTATAAAAGTGGTTACAAGAAAACATCCAATAGAAATGAATTAAAAAATTTGATAGTCACGTGATTGACGTAGTCTTATGTAGTCCAAGAGCATAAGCTAGTTATCTACGAAAAACCTTAGAATACATTCCTTGCTGAATCATTGGTAAAATGAGAGTGACCCGGATAGCAGTTTAGTTCGAACAAGAAAGAGATCTGTGTCTATAAGCCGATTGTAACTATTAACTAAAAACGCTTGCTTCTTATTTCTTATTGTGCACCAAATTGAAGATCGATTGCCTGATTAAAGAAGTCGATAATGGGAATGGACTTATTATTCTTTGATCCAAATCAATAATTTACTGAAAAAATATTCAAGTTTAATTTCATGTTTTATTTGGATGAAGTTGAACCATTCGAAAATAAGGATCTGAACCTTGGTTTTTTGCAGGTGCTTGTAGTTGTATGATTCCTACATTCAAGAAATAAAATGATCGAACCATCAATAATCAACGAGATTTATCTGATCAAAACGAGGCGTACATTATGAATCCTTTAATAAAGCATTGTATCTTTAAAGTCAAATTAATTTCGTAACTGAATTTTAACTGTATGTTTAACTTCAACTAATCCACGAAATTCAGTGACACATCCACCACTGTCATTAACGAGTTGCTATCTCATAACTGACCCGGTTGAACTCCATTGGCCATTGCTTCTCACTAGAACTCCAGGATATACATCTTGAAGCCAGTCACTAGTGAGCATATGTTGATTAATATCAGAAGGGGTTTTGTGAAGATTTCATGATCTCAACAATTGAAGTTACTAAAATCTCCACAAAACGTCTTCTGATACTAATTATATATTGCTTTAAATTTATCAGATTATTTGTACATAAATAAGATCAGTTGTACACAATTGTTTTATTTAAAAAAAATGTATCGATGTGAACTTTTCAGTGAATGAAGCATTTAGTCTGATTGAATTTGTATATGGAAATAGACTTTGTTAACTCTATGTGTTATATGTTATGCCCCAGATTAGAGGGCAGCGAATTATCGATCGGACCAATGACGCGTAAAACACGTAAGAACAGCCTAGGGTTCTGATTGGTCCTGATTCCCTGTCTAGACCAGCCAGTTGAGTCCACAACACAAATCTCAGCCTCTGCGATATGAATCATTATATTTCAAACATACTCTGTTTATATACCAATCAAACAGACTACATCGTGCCATAAAATAGAAAATAACATTTGTACTAGATTTGACCAACAGGAAAATGACACGTGAAATAAATATTGACCAATAGGGAAACAACACGTGAAATAAATATTGACCAATAGGAAAATGACACCATTTCAAGTCCAAGGATAACATTAGACTTAACAGAATAATTTCTGGGATATTTTTCTGAATATCCCAACAATATGATTCATGAGAATTATTATTTATTATCCAAATGGTAAGACTACTAATTAGAAAGAGTAATGAGTAAATCAATGAAGGAACAGAATTTCAAAAGTCGAACATTATATCATAAATTCCTAATGGTTATTTAAAAAAAATGGATCACTTTTAGTCTCTGTAGTATTTTGAAAATTTTGATTAGCTTCGAATGGATTCCACTATTAATAACATCATTTACCATGTTAATTCATGGAACAAACATAACACTGATTGATATTTTTTGTCAATAACATAAATCGGTTAACTTGATCAAAATTATATTGCTCATTTCATTTCCTATCTGAAATACTTCTTTCCAAAATTCATGTAAATGTGGACAGAACAAATATAATTTTTGTTATAATGAATAAAAATGAGAGAAAAGATTTCAAGACTGATATTGGAACAATATCTATAGTGTCGTGTTTTCATTGTTCAGTTGTCGATATATCACTAAACTGTGTCTTTTTATTAATCCCTTTTGATGAAAACAATTTTATTTGGTTTATCATAATTTAATATCATTAATGCTTTCAGCGTTAGGAACTGATCTCAATGTAAAGTTGTAGACAAACCTTTATGTTGAAAATAATGATTTAATAATTTTAAGCTTTCCATCACCTATTTATCCATGATTATACTGTAATGAACGTGGAAACCAATGGGGACAACCAAATGTACGTGAATACAAAATTACAGAATAACTTAGTCAAATCTAAGAACCATAAAATATATAGGTATCATTACCACAATTTTACCTGATAATTTCGAATAAGTTGAACATTGGGTACATTGTTATAAATAGATAAAATAATAGATTTGTAATACCCCAATGAGTAGAAAAATTAGATTTTCTGATGTTTCATGACTCAGTGTAAGCCACTTCTTCAGAGAATTTTATTCTCTAATCTAATTTTTCTACTCATTGGGATATTACAAATCTATTATTTTATTCATACAGTAAATACTTTACTTGCAGAATGTCAATCAATTGTCTCGGACTTCATTGTTCATTCGTTTCCACACCAATCATTCTCTGTTCTCGTTCTCTTCTCTTCGATCTTCTTAACCTTCTGCCTCCAGGTGTTTTACTTTCAATTGATGATACATACTACTTATATCTACCGACATCAGTAGCACACACCACAATATCTTTCCATTCATGTTTAACAACCTTTTAGAATTACCATTTGTATTCTGACGACTATATGTTGTTGTCAAAGTGGGAGGGTGATTTTTTCTTAAGTGATTTCATACTATTTTTCACTTGATTCAAAAAGTGTGATTCCCTCTCACATGACTGTTAACATTTGAATTATAATTCATTATTATTATGACACTTCATCATTGACGCAAATTCCTTGGATTATAATGATGTATCCTAATGTTAATATTTTGAGCGTTATTTACTTATGTATTCACATTAATTTATCATTTATTTTCTCGGAATTATTGACCAATGCTAGCGTATCATAAATTTGATTCCATTTAGAGAACAAATACTAAATCATAAATTATACTAATATTATGAAAGGCGTCATTTATTGATCTGATAAACCTTTATTTGTTAGGGTGATAGCTTTGTAAAGATTGTTCATTTTGAAGTTATCTCTTACTAGGAATTGATATCAGCTCTTAGAACCTCTGAACTGTGGGTAGTTTTGAACAGCGCTTTCTTTCTATTTTGTGATTCAACAGTAAAAATAATGCGCGATCATCACCTCTAACCAAAGTGCCTTCATGCAATCATTTATTGAAATAATAACTACCTACGCATTAGTAACTAGGTTCGAGAAGAACTTCTGAGGTTTCAATGATAGGTCATGACCAACTTAATCCAGCTAGATGAAGAATGAGACAGATATTATGATATGTATTCTGACTTAGTAGTTTATAGGTATCATGTTCAATACCAAGAAAGTCAGGAATTCCTTGATTCGATCCCTGATGTATGAATGCTGATGATTACTTTCAAACTAGGACCAAACGGCTGTTTAGTGCACTTTGGTTTTTGCTGATTCCCCATAATATTTCAGTCCGCAATCAAAACTAACGTAAAATCTGCATTTATTACAATTAGCATTCCACATCAGAGTTAACAGTGAATCTGGTCAATCAAATATACCAATTGCTACAACAGTCTTCAAAAAGGTTCCTTGCTTATTCATATTTATAAAAGTGAATTTAAAACACACTGAAATATAGGATTTTCTACTAATGCTATTAGATAACCAATTGTTATGTTTCTAACGGTAAGGTTAGACAGAAAATCATGTTGTTCCACGTATTTAACTGAAACTTGTTGAAGGTGGTTAATGTCGACCGGCTGCTTATTGTTCATAAAGACATTTTATTGGACCTCAATCCAAATAAGTTATTCCGGTTGTATAAACAAAGGAAGAATTCAGCATGCTAAAGCCTACTTCGTCCCTAAGGTCCAGACTTCCTAGCTGGCGCCTACACAATACCCTTAATCACCAGTTGGTGATATAGGATAACTTGAGTCAAAGTTGGTTACCGTGGTACAGTTGTACTCATTCTCCATCTTCCTCAAGAACTTGAATCAAGTGTCATCCCTAACTTCCCATCCTTTCATCCGGTTCGTTCATCTTAAACTATGTTTCTTAAGTCTAGACTTCTATTAGGAATGATATTATCTCCCAGTACTTGATTTTCATCCCATTTTTGGTCATTTTCTCCCTCTCTATTGATATGAGGTGCTGAAGCATTTTGGGTAGATCAACATTTGTACCAGATTTTAAATTAATAATGACTGATTATGCAAATTAAAACAGTCTATGCATTACAAAAACGTTTACTAAACTTGAACATAAATTATTAATAGATTTACTCATTGTGAACACTAAGTTTTCCTCTTTAAGCAATTTAAAGAAAGCATATCTGTTTCCCTACTTCTTTTAATGTTTATAAGATTGGCTGTCAGTATATCAATTTACCTGATCTATTCAGTAGTAGCAGTAATAGTAATACAAGTATCAATGTTCTTACACTTCTTGTATCAGATTATTATTGTCTTAAATTATTTGTCTTATCTAAATTATTTACCTCTTTTCATATTCAGAGGAGAAAAATCCGGTGTTATATCATATTCAGCAATTCAAAACTTTATTGGAACTCTGAAATCACGATTGTGTGTTGCTCAGGTATACCACGTTTTTTTCTTTTTTAAATCAAGTTACTGTTACTATTTGGTGAATATGAGTTCTTTGCAAAAAATAAATATCGAAAATATAATTGAAATTATTGAATTTGAGTTATTTGTTTATTTTTGTTATCAATTTACTCACCTTTCATTCTTAATACTTTTCTCACATTATATTTGTAGTTTTATTCAGCTCTCTATGTGGGTTGAGCACTTTCTTTTTTGTTTGTTTGTTTATCTAGAATTAGAACTGTCATGAGATGATTTTTAGTTCAGGGGTAATTAAAACATTACACTGAAAAACATCTTATTTTAATATATGTTTAGTAAATTAATTAATTGTTTAATGATTATTATGCATACATAAGGCTGTTTACTCTTCCCCTTCCGCTTTCTTCTGGTGGTCGACTGGATTATGAAGACCTCGATATTTGAGGGAAAACACGACATACAATGGACAGCTCAGAACCAATTAGACGATTCGGACTTCGCAGATCACCTAACCCTCCTATCGCATACACACGAACAAATGCAGATGAAGGCAGCCAGTGTAGCAGCAGTCTCTGCATCAGTACACCTCAACATACACAAAGGGAAAACCAAGGTCCTCAAACACAACACGGAGAACAGCAATCCAATCACTCTTGATGGCGAAACTCTGAAAGATGTAGAATTCCTTCACATATCTGGGAAGCATCATCGATAAACAAAAAGATTTAGATGCAGACGTAAAGTTGATGATTGGCAAGGCAAGGACAGCATTCCTTCAATAGAAGAACATATGGAACTCAAAACAACTTTCAATCAATATCAAAGTCACCATCTTCAATACGAATGTCAAGGCAGTTCTACTGTACGAAGCTGAAACGTGGAGAACCACAACAACCACCATCAAGAATGTACAAGTATTTATCAATAGCTGTCTACGCACGATACTCAACATCCATTGGCTGGATACCATCAGCAACAGCGTTCTGAGGGAGAGAACCAACCAGCTTCCAGCTGAAGAGGAAATTAGGAAAAGACGATGGAAATGGATAGGATATACATTGAGGAAATCATCAAACTGCATTACGAGGCAAGCGCTAACTTGGAATCCTGAAGGGAAGCGGAAAAGTGGAAGGCCAAAAACACATTACGTCGGGAAATAGAAGCAGATATGAAAAGGATGAATAAGAACTGGAAAGAGCTGAAAAGGATTGTCCAGGACAGGGTTGGATGGAGAATGCTAGTGAGCGGCCTATGCTCCTTCACAAGGAGTAACAGGCGTAAGTATATTAAGATTATTATGCATAAGTTACAAGTCGGAGATTTTGTTTGTAAGTTAAATGTGTATGTATCATATAACTAAAAGAATATACATTTGAGTTGATACCAAATAAACTATGTATAGAGATTTAGAATTTCTGACGATGTTTGTGGTAAGAGAAACATTTATAAATGATTACTGTTAAGTGTACAAATGTTAGAGTTCGATGGTAAGTCAAGTTGAATTATAACCAGTATTATAACATATAACAAAATGTAGTCAGTAATTCAGTAACTGATGGGATTGTCTATTTTGACTACGACACACTTATCTACAAATGTTTCTCTAGATCTCTGGATAAATATGTAGATTTGATTCTCTAAATCATACACAAATGTAAATGTTTGATTACCCTTCATTTTAATTGAGAATACGTTATAAATAAAAGTAAATATGCAATTTATGATACCATAGTTGTTATTATTAAGTCAAACTGAAGAATATTCTTTCCTATCAGTTCATAGTAGTGACATATTTTTCTATATGCATTATTGATTATTCGTACAATAATTGTGGAGTTTATTAGAAACTCCCTTATTTAAGTAGTGTACTGCAAAACACTAATTTTCATTTTTCATCATGGAATATTTATAATTTAAAAGTGTTGGTAGCGATTCTTTGCTTGAATTGAATTTCATTCTAGGCAGGATAAATTTCAGACTGTTACTGATTCTCATCTTATCGAATTTATTAACACTTATTTTCCTTCAAATTTGTCTCTTTTTTTGGTAGATTATGCTTTTCTTTTTAAGCTTTTGTATCTTTTATAGTTCACACGATGAATTCATCTTGATTAAACAAACAATGAAATGCAGAAAGCACTGGGTAATCATTTCGTCCTAGTACGGACGCATCCACGACACCAAAAAAAAATTCAGGTCTCGTGACGAACGCCTAACCATGAGATCACTGAGTTAACATCAAGTGGTGTACACGTTTAACTTCATTAGATTCAAAATAAAGCGCAACCATCTTACAATGTCATTGATACGTACCTGCATCACACTTGATATGGTTGAGTTCCACTATTTACGTCTTTTTACTAAAACCCCAGGAACTACCCTTAGAAATTAGTCACTAGTGAACAAACCACTATTAGTTACTGTAGAGGGGTTGCGACGATTGTTGAATTTTTTTTAGCTTACATCACAGATTGATCCTAGTTGCTCGTCATCTTATTTTGTGTAAAATTGCTTGTTTATGCAATGCAAATCCTATGTAATTATTATATTTGCTACACATATTTCATTATTTACAAATAGAAATTATTAAGGAGTTAATGAATTAAATGATAGGTAAAAATCAACACCATTATTCACTAATCATCTACAGGGTCGAATAACTTAATATTTTTTTATAACGTGCTCAGCTTTATCTATTCAAAAGAGACTTAAAGAAATTATGCAAGGATTTGTCTCACGAGTGTCGATAGTCTTTTTTAAGGTCAGAGCATACATAACCATATTCTATGTAAGGTTCGAATCAGTGTTTTACAGCACTACAAATGATATTGTTAAAATGTCCATTGACACTTGATATACCATCTTTTGTTCGGTTTAAAATTATCGCCACTCAGATCATGGACAATACGCATTCCTGTCCGATTAAGAACATTTTCGGATAACACTATTTAAATATTCTAGATATCATTACCAAGATTTGATTTGGTCATTTCGAATAAATTGAGCATTGGGTAGATTGTTATAAATAAATAAATAATATATTTGTAATATCCCAATGAGTAGAAAAATTAGATTCTCTGACGTTTCGTGACTTAGTGTAAGTCACTTCTTCAGAGAATAAATATCCAAATTAAAACTAATCCAAGTTTAACTGGTACAAAGGAACAATAAGAATAATATGTTCTGTTGTACTATTTAAACTTGGATTAGTTTTAATTTGGTTATTTAGTCTCTGAAGAAGTGACTTACACTAAGTTACGAAACGTCAGAAAATCTCATTTTTCTACTCAATGGGATATTACAAATATATTAATTTATTTATATCTAAATATTCATTTGATAAGAGAAGCTTTTAGACAAAACAGCAAGCAAATTAGAATGAAACTTCTGTTTTATCTTGACCTGACCTAAACATATTTTATTTATCCCGTAGTTTATAACAATTTCCTTCAGAAATTTTTTTTGTTTTTCTCGATGACCTCATCCGTTAGTTTTTAACCCATTTCTAATATTAGTATTATCTATCATTGATTAATGTCCATTGATTTATCCGTTGTCAATTAATGTATATGGTAGTTTCCATATCAATTAGTGTTCATGTTGTGTTTAAATAAAAAAAATATGATATTTGTCTGAGTAATTAAGGGATTTATGTTCTTTATGTTTTCACTCTTTATTCTTTAGTTTAGAAAAATAATAAACGGTCTTTTCGATGTACAATAATAATTAGGGAGTTCCGCTTGTTTATAATATGCAATGAGTTTATTATATAATAAAACTTACTTCGGAAGAAATTATCTGCCATTGTTTGACTAACATGGTTGTGAAACATTGCAACACTTTCTAACCTACATAGAATAAAAGTGCTTCAATGTATATCGCGACTATTAATTATGAACCATTAAGCCTTTGCTTAATGAAGTGAAAAAATGTAGTTGGTTTAGGTTTTTTATTCCGCAACAAAAAGTTGATCTATTTATGTAATGGACCAGATGGCAGATAAACTATAAAATGTTATTCTTTGTCCATGTTATATACATTTTCTGATTGCACTGTTTTCCTGAGGTCGATCCACATCGTACAATTTGTATGATTTCAATTATGACTATATTTTTGACTCATTTTCATCAAAATACTTGCTAGTATGTTATGATTTCCCGCTCTCCGTTCTTAACTGTTTATCTAACAATTCAAGTTAGTTTCATGTTTGTATACAATCAGTGGAAACCGTAGTATGTTTTATCTTGAACTCTATACGTTAATGAAATCATCTCTTATTCTGTCCATTAAACAATCGTCTATTAAGTGAGCTAGAAATAAAAAGTACTGATTTTGATAAGCTTAAAAACACTCACTAAACTCATTCAATAACGATAATCACTGGCAAATGGGCCTGTTTTTCCTTTTTTTTTTCTTCTTCGGCTTATACATTTCTAGGTTTACAACGAGATTAATCAACGTGGATCGTTTGATATGAATTATTTATGTTTCCTACTGTGTGCAGCTATTGTGGCAAATATAGCTCTCGTAACCAATTCTGCTGGCGTTGTATTTGCAAGTATGCTATTATCTCCTTTGATGGTAAGTATACGGGACTACCGTATTATGTGACTGTATTCAGGGAAGGTTATTTGTTCCCTCTTTTGAGGATAGAGGCTAGATTTATTACATTTACAAATGCATGAAAGAACGTAGTGCATAGAACGTTTGTAAAAAAAAATGGACTAGTTTTGTGATTGTTAACTCTCGTTGACAGAATTAATTTACATACTGAGGAAAATTACGGCTTCTTTCTCTGAAGTTCAGTTTACCTTCATGTGAAATTATTTGAAATGTAACAGTTCGTTCATGTAACTAAGATTTTGATCGGTTCACGTGATTCTAATTATGGCAAAGTTGTGCGGATTTTTTCTGGAGGATGATATACTTAGTTTCTGTTTAACTATTATTATCCAGTAGTCATCAAATTTTAACACAGATCAAATATTTTCTCGACAAAAGTTTCGTTCTGAAAATGATTGAGATAATTGGTCGAGTTAAAATGGTCTCGAAGTTTCAGTTTCGTTGCCAATTTAGCTATCACATCAATGCAATTATAGATGAAATAAAAGAGATAAGTTGGTCTGGCCTTAAACTGGAGTCCCAATTAAAATTTCATCATAACTCCAAGATATTTTATTTTACCAGAACAATTATAATTCCAAATTCCTAATTTTCTCTGCTGATTGATATTCGTTTGCTCATTAGTAACTCAGTATGCTGTCTTCTTTTGGATCTTTAGTTTTAAAATTATCTTATACTGTTTTTCCACGAATTGACTCTTTCTTATGAAACCATAATGTATATGCCTAATGTTTTTCATTACTATTAGTACTGTTACCACTTCTACTTCTAACATGTATCCTGATAGTTTCGCATCTTTGTGGTGATATGGTATAGTAATTTAAACTACTGTAAATATGTACCAGTTTATACGTTGATTCAATATATTTACAGGAAACTATTTTGAAAAGAAAGAGTTTGGGTTTATTATTTTACAAAGAGGGCCATTTTTCATATATCTAGGGATGGTCTACTGTAAAAATTGTACTGATTGCGTTTTAGATTAGTAGCATTATAGAAGAACCAGCTTTTCTTTAGAGTATACATAATTAGCAAAATTGCATAAAGTATGAAACTCAATAACAAAAATATGCATTATTAGTGGGTAGATATGGAGAGATAGATCAATCTGATCTTACAATGAGATACATAAGTGTAAATGGGTTTTGTTTGTATTCATTTATTTCGTTCTAAACTTATCATGTATTACAATGAGTTTGATAAAACTACTGTTCAGCAAGGTATGAGTTTATACTGTTTATAAGTTGACTAATTTCTGCTTTTGTTCACTATTTGTGTAGTTTACAATCCTATGAAAACAAAATGAATGGTTTCTTGATACTTGTTCATGCAGTATTTTAACTAAATTTAGATAATTGTGTTCTCAAAAGTTTTGACATGCAAATTTGTATATGTGTATAGCATTTCACAGCTTCTATGGAACCGCAAATTTAATTTGGTATATTTAAATTTGGCATATATTAAACAACGATTTCCAGTCAATCAAAATCCTCTGTATCGCTGTTGATCTTATCTTTCGTTCAGCAGAAAGTTTAGACGATCCATTTGTATTTATGTAATTACACAACTGTTACATACTGTTAAGTTACCATTAATATCCTCGATTGTAGGACTGAAGTTAAACAACAAGAAATGAATAAATCACTTGATTGTGTAGACTTAAGTATGTTGAATGTCAGTAAGGTGAAAAATAAGTACAGATTTAAATATATTTTACTTTTGACTACTAAAGATCTTTATAGTAACGTGATATCGACCTATAAAGTTTCTCGTCAATGTATTGAAAATCAATAATTATTTAGTCCACTTCAGTTGCGCACTGCAGATCGTGATTTGCCATTTTGACTAGCTGATATCTGCATAAAACCTTATTGACACCACATGTGAATAGTTACATAGCCTATTCCCCTATGAACAGTATAGACGTTAAGCGTTAAAATATTTGTACTCAATTAAATAGAACATTTTCAAGAAGTATTTCATTTAAGTTTGCGTGGCTCCGGTATTACAAGATAATTCAACATTAAACATCTCTTAACTGGAAATAAATTTCATCTATTTTTTAGTATTAATATATATGAAATACCAATTCACTCAGTTGTCATAACTGAGAAATAATGAAGCATAGAAAATATTTAACTTGACTCGATATCAAAGCTTTCACTACAAATCCATTGTAAATAAGAAACTAAATGGAAGCTCCATAATCTCTCAAAGTTTTATCATTTTCAAAACTTTTGTGATCTTAAAAAAGTATATTTCACAGTGAATTTCATTGTCTCAATGCAAAAAAGAATGCTTAATGAAAATATAAAAAAAAGTCATGAATAATGATATATATAACTACAAATATACTCTACGTTGGTAGAAATATGTATGGATTTAGGAAATGAACTATAAAATACCAGTAGGTACGTTATATTTGGTAAAATCGGTCTCATTTGTTCGAAGATTGTAAAACACTGAACAGTTTGCTGATTCATATGTTCGTTTCTGAAAAGCATTATCAGTACATATTGTTTCATTGAACTATTTCATCAACGGAAGATATGATGAAACTTTCAATGAATATAAACTTTTTTGTGTTTTATTTTGTTTGCAACAACAACAACAACTTATCAGTTGCTCTGTTAACAGCGGAAAAAGTTCATTTGAAATTCATAACAGAGAGAGAGAGAGAGAGAGAGAAAGAGAGAGTGAGAGAGAGAGAGAGAGAAATCCATGACAAGGAACCATTTGAGGTGTTAAACTGATTTTCATTTTTTGTTTTCGTTTCATAAACGTTTTCCACTTTAAAAAAAAATATTCACTTGAATAAATAACTAGATTAATTGAAGGGAGTCAAGTGATCAAACATACTTATGCTTAGTGACTACAATAAATTTATAACAAGTTTTCAAATTTCACTACTTGAATTTAAACACATTCTCTCATTGTATATGCTAGTTTTAATTTATTCTAAAGAATAACAGAAATTAAATGACCCCTAATAAACTGTGAATCAGTCAGATGATCAGAGTTTAAAAATAATTTTTTTTTCTTCTTCAAATTGTTATTAACGCCATGCAGAATTTACTGCGTTTTTTTTTTGTGTGTGTGTGTGTGTGTTCACTCAATTGCATTCTTTTATTGTTTACGCAACATGTTTATATTTTTATCTATTTTCTAATTATAATCCATAAACTGATGCTGTTACTTCTATAGTCTAGGCTATGTATTTTGTATCCGTTCTCATTTGAACTTACTTTGATTTCCAGTAATCCAATATTACCAAACGTCATAAATATACACTTCAAAGTAACTTTTTTGAACTGTTACTAAGACAACTAGGGAATCGTTATTATGATAATGTCTGGATTGTTTGACTGATTTAACAATAATTGACGAGTATAGCATACAGGACGAGAAAAAAACTAAAACCTTGTATAGTTATTACTTGGGATTGTGGTTGCGCACCATTTACTAGTCCCATATTGAGATGAAACAGACGTTTAATGCTTTTTGGTTTTCAATGGTCAGTTATTGTTGTAAAATTCTAAAATTTTATCACCCTCCACAACTCCTTGTACTAGGGTTATCTCGGTTCAGGAACAATGTTTTGACGATAATATTAAGGAAGAAAAACTAAAACCAGTTAAGGGCAATAAATTAAAACACAGAGGGAAGCCTAGCTATAGCCATACGATAGCTAGAATTGTTGCCTTTCTCTTTAATCGAATGTTGGTGAAAAATGTCATTAACCAGGTTACTTACTTACTTACGCCTGTTACTCCTAATGGAGCATGGGAGGCCGACCAGCACTCTCCAACCCACTCTGTCCTGGGCCTTCTTTTCTAGTTCCATCCAATTCTTGTTCATTTTCTCATGTCTCTCTATTTCCCAGCGTAATGTGTTCTTTGGTCTTCCGCCTGGAGTCCCTCCGGGGGCTACTGCTTGTCCCAAACCCGGACAAAGGAGGAGGGTTGGGCATAGGGTTAGCGACCCTATACCGTAGAAAAATAACTCGCTAAAAAATTGCTAACCAGAAAAAGAATTGTTCAAACCATTAACCAGGTTGCTAACTTAATATTTTAAATTTGAAAATTTCAAACACTAATTTTATGAACAAACTTCATATACACAGAGAAATTTTCAAACTGTGAACCATGGGGTCAACGAGGAAGTTATCTATATATACACCATCGTATCTTACTCTCGTTTTGCAGATGCATAATTTTACACTTTAACAATCGAACACTCAGACATACTAAACATAATACTCTCTCCTCACACTTATTCTCTATCACTTTAGTTTATCTACTTTAAGTGAGAGAAAGAGGTGAATTATTCGTTGTAATCCATCTGGCATGCATAGGTAGGGAGTCTTTGAGGTTATTTCAACCTAAACGATAGCTTATCAGCTCTGCAGCTTTTAAAGTTGGGTAACTGTTATCAAGCTTATATGAGAAAGGCTTATCAATGTGAAAAGGAAGAGTAAGTTGGATTTAATGAAAACTACCTGGGACTAATTTGAAAAAAAACTGTTCCTAAAAAATGGAAAAAGTTAATAACGCAGTAAAAAATAAGTTCTTTCGGGATATTATTAGATTAGGATGACAAATAAAATGGTCGAAGAAGAGTCCGATGTTATTCTGAATATTTTTCTAGATGATGTTGGTCCTTAATTCCCTTGTTTGATTGTTAACGAAAGTTCTCATTCAACGAACGTTTGAAGCAGGAAGCTGAAATATTCATTCCCCGCCCCAGAGGTCATATTCCATCCCCGGGTCACCCTTTATTTTCTTTTGAGATTATTGATTGGAATCTGATATATGGAAGCAATCAAAGTATCTACTATGTTATCTTTGATAACTCACGAACTTGTAGTTTCTTGCAGCTTTCCTCGTATCTCATTGTTCTTACTATGGTTAAAGAATATTAAGAATGATGTTAAAATATTCATAATTTCTGGCAAGGTCCATCATAATACAAATTAACCCATTTCATGTATTCTGGTAGCTTTCACTTGCATGTTTAGAATAGATTTGGCAATTTGTCTCACAATATGATCTTTCAAAAAAATGTAGGTGTACTACATCTGACAGTAGATATGATAAAACTAAAGAGTTTATGTTCGTTAAATTTATCCCAAACATACTGTATGACCCGCATTCATTTTAAAAACTATCGTATTATGTTGTAAGACTGGAAAATATTCGCTTCCATAATTTATCCAAGTAGTAGTAATTGGTCATCCATTCTGTTAATCTGAATGGCTTTTTTGAAGCAACTTGAAATGGAATAGGGTTTAAAATGGAAAACTGTCCCATTCTTATCGATTTATATCGGTTATTTATGATAAGAACAAAATTTATAGTCACTTATTGTTGCCATTGGAGACATTGTCTAAAGACGTTAATGTTTAATTTGTTTGGTGGTCAATGTAAGACTTTGAATTTTCCAGTGATTTCAGGAACGTTACATGCTACAATGTTTATAATTTAGCCTTATGAGTTGATTTGCCTACCGTTATGTGATCTAAATGAATATATCATAACATTGTCAAGAGGTCACTCATGAAGGCTCAACTGCTCATCAATGAAGTAAGAGAAAAAAGAAGAGCTTAGAAGTTAATACTTATTTATTCCATACAAACCGCACTTGATCATAGTCATTAGATGTTTTCTGAAGCTAATAATACATACAATATTGATTTTATTTCTTAAAATTTGGATAATAAATAAACATTACGCTCGCTCATTAGTAGTATTTGGTGCTTAATGCTTTGACTATCATGTCAATATCGATGTTTTCTCATTTATCAATAAGGATTTCAAAAGGTCAGTTGAGCTAATTGCTTGTGTCGTGTTGCGTTTAGTTGGTCATATTATCTTTGACACTAGTGAAGGAGAAAAATTCCTTAGAATAAACAGATTGCTATGTCTATCACTAAGGGTAAATGTATAATAATAATAATTGCTATTATTACATGTTAGAATATCATAAGTCGACAAATGATTGCTATGTGGCTTTATATGACTAATTGCCAACAACTTCATAGTTCATATCACAACCTTATAAAGAATTAGAAGCACTGGACATCTATTTCATCTTAATGTGGAACTACTCACTAGTGTTCATACATGACCCTAGCAGATAGTGAATTCAAGACATTCAAGTCTGTAGATGGACTCCAGTATTGACATTTAGAAACTAGTCACAATTTCGGAACATTATTATTATTACTATTGGATATTTGTGACGATTGTTGAATTTTTAAATTCTATAATTTTCACAGTCCCCTTATGATAACAAATATTTATGGTTGGTATCAAATGTTTTACGTTAGCCAGGTAACTCTGTCATACTAATACGATCCTCAGTTTTTCCTTGTTTACATTTTATACTATACTGATTTGATATTCTCTCCCTTTCTTACATTTATATTATTGGATAAGCTAAGACAATTGAGCAAAAGTATTAACAATGCGTAAAATATACTAACATTCGGCGTACATAGTCAACCATCTCTAGTTCAAAAACAAAACATATATCTAATCGTTCATGATTCACAACAATCCTTCAACTGTTGATGTTTCATAATGAAAATTATTTTCATAATCATTCTAATTTTATTCCTAATTAATCTTTCATTTTATCTCTAGGATCCAATTATGTGTATTCTTTTTGGTTTGAATTTACGTGATCGTAATATGACAACTAAAGGTATTCGTAACACATCGATTTCACTAATTATCTGTGTTATGATTGGTAAGTCATGAGGAGTATTTCTCACGAATTAGTTTGGCTTCGATAGTTCATTTATATTGTTTTATCCGTAAATACAGTTTTTAATGCATATAGTCATTTAATATCTAAACAAATCTTAATAATCTAAAATTATAAAATTCGAGTAACCTAATAATGAGATTTATTTAAATGACAGAATCTGACTATTACTTGTTATGACCTTGATTTGTCTACCCACTTTTTGGTGCCGAGGATACTTGTCTAATCTAGATTTCGACCTTGATGCGATAGGCTGATCAGCTTAACCTTGAGACTAGTACGCGTGAGTTCGAGATGGGGTAGAGAAAAGAAAACTATTCTGCCACCTGATTGGTGGGCAAGCACACGAATGAGAGAAGACAAGACAACTGGAACACTACTCGATCTATTTCCCTGACCACTGAACTCACTGGATTTACTGAATTCAGATTAGTGTAAAAAGGTACATGAATAAATAAGTGAATAACCCGACCGCAACGTACAATAATTAGGAAAAATACAATTATGTCCAAAGCTGGGAATTAGAGTAGAAAATAGGGTGCAAAATAATATGTTTAAATTACAATAGCTTCGGAACAGAAAAAGGTATGGCAGTGAATGATACTTCGAACGAAAGCTTATGTTCTGTAGAATAGATTAGGGACAAAAATAAATGTCAGTGTTTTACAAGCTTTGAATAAAATGAAATAACGTTCCGAAAAATAGCCTTCGTAGTTTGTTAGGGCTTCTTGTTTCCCGGTTCACATTATTACTAATGGTTTCTATCAGCTTGTTTGTCTTTGTAATTGATCAGTCGAACAATCGTTGTATATATGTGTGTGTGTGTATTTATTGATAATAACTTTGCTCAATCTCCATGTTTTACAAATATAACTTAATATATCATGTAGACTACAGTGATCTTCAACACTTTTGTTTAATTCTATTGAATAGAATCGAATTGAAATTCGTCTAATACTGGGAAACATTAACTATTTACTTTAGACAGTATTAAAAAGTCTTGTTAACCGTTTTGAGTAAATAAGAATGTTTTTTTTAAGTATCACTACTAAGTTTGAACTCGATAGTTCCAAATAAAATAAGCATTGGGTAAAGAGTTATTGATAAATATATTTTTTGTTATATCCCAATCAGTGAACAAAATTGTATTTCTGACGTTTCGTGACTTAATGTAAGCCACTTCTTCAGAGTAAATAAACAACTATTTAAATTTGTGTTCGTTGAATTTCGGTTGTTTATTTACTCTGAAGAAGTGGCTTACATTAAGTCACGAAACGTCAGAAATACAATTTTGTTCACTGATTGGGATATAACAAAAATATATTTATTATTAAAAGTGTCTTGTTTTTTTTATAGTTAGAAGCATCAAAACCATATATTCCCATTTTTTTCAATACTCAGTGCACTCATAAACATGTTTTTGACAAGAGATTAAGATAAGAGTGAGCCTATTTTTGGGATTATACTTGTAATGTACGTACATTTCTTAAGAGTTTCAAACTTTAGGTTTGTAATTATTGAGTTCTAATCACTATTTCTATGTTATGGAACCTTCCCTCCCAAACTATATATATTCGAAACAAATTTTATAACCTCATTATCTCTAACAGCATCTTTGCTACATCATGTTCATCCTTCATCACCCTCTGATATATGTCAATAACTGTAATAACGTTGAATTTCAAATATTTTAGGTTGTAAGCAGCTGATGAGAATCTAACGAAATAAAATGAATTCATATTATTCTGCACCAACCTTTGTTCTTGATCTCTTTAAAATAATAAAGGGAACTATGTGTATGAAATACAATGCTTTAATTAAAATTAAGTTTATCAGAATATTCATTGTTCTGTTGTTATATTATGAAAAATACTGAACAAGTATAATTGTAATTGTCTCCTACGTTGTCGTAATTGGGATAGATTGATAGTTCACCGTTTTGTAGGTTATATTCATCACAGATCAATTGTAGTTGGGGCATCATTGAAAACCAACGAATACTGGATAGTAATGGCACAATTTCAATTTTGATCATTTTACAATATAACACAAGAAGCATTCAACACTATTATTGAGGATTGTTTCACTACTGATATGTTTAAATGATCAAATAAAACAATTCATTTAGTTATTGTTAATCCACTTTTTAATATGTTTACAGTGATTAATGAATTTTAACTTTAATTTTAGAAAGTTTGATTGTGTCATATAATCAACAAATGGGTAAACTTGTTTTCGTTTTTCTTTCACACATTTTTTTTTCCATTAGGATTAACGTTTGGTTATGTGGCACATGCAATTAGTGCTTTTCAAGATGTTACACCATATCCCACAAGCGAGATGGTTCAAAGGTAAGTCAGTTCATGCTCATACTCTGCTTTTTATTTTCTCAATTATTGAAAATATTTTTATTAGATAGTGCCTGGCAGTGGACTCAGTTGGATATACTGTCATTCAAGCGTTTAGGTTTACACTGTCCATACTAACTTTAGATAGCCACTGTCTTGTACGTTGTTCGTGTTTATTTAGGTCTAATATTTTACAAATTCCCTAATCAAACGAACGCTTGACCATCAGACTAGTGAGTCGGCATTCAATAGAGTACACGTTTATCTGCAATCAATTCTCAATAAAGCGCGTCCATCTCCTAATGTCATTGATGGGTAACTGCATTACACCTGACATGGTTGAACACCATTAGTCACGACTTCTCATTAGGAAGGACTCCAGTATTGACATCTTGAAACTAGTCACAATTGCGAAACATTATTATTATTACTATTGAACATTTGTGACAGTTTTTTAATTTTTAAATTCCATAATTTTCACAGTCCCCTTATAATAACGGATATTTTTAGTTGATTGTACCCTAAGTGAGATCATTTTGTGACGAGTACAACCCACAAGGAAAATCAATCACCGAAAGACCTCTTCATCTAATATCATTTTTTAAAATTAAAATAATGAATTTTGACGATGAAAATTAACCTGTTTCACGTTCTGTTGATAAATCCTCACTGTAAATGATAAAACCGAAAGAAGGTTATCAGTTTAAAACTTTATATTGATATTTACTTTACATTTCCAAGGTGTTTACTGCTGTTGTACAGAAAGATGTTGATGTGAATGCTCTTTGTGTTTATTCCCTTTTCACACTAATTTTGTTAGCGTTGTACTCGTTTATGATATCCTGGTTTACTTATATTTTTCCCAGAATTGTCCTTCTGTTATTCACTAACAAGCGATTATAACCTATAAAATTGTTTCATTTGTGCCAAGCGTATAATGATCAAGGCACCTAGGTGCATGTTTACACGTGTCACGTCATATTGGTTGGAATGGCATGTGACATCAGTTAATTGATCGATTAACTGTTGTTTCGGCCAATACTAAGAATGATATTATTTTACTGACTAATGATCTATAAAATAGTAAACAATGGATGTTATTGATTTAAAGTGGTGTCATTTAAAATTTATTTGTACTTTACATATTTTTTCCCTGCTTCTTGCTCCCAAACATGAACATTATTTTTATCCCCCTAATTTGTGTTCACCCATCATCTCTTTGAGTTATTTTCGTGATTATTTTAATTTTGTAAGTACTCATTTTACTCGCTGTTTGAACTACTTACAACTTGAGTTGGTAAATTATTGGGTCAGTTTTTGTGTGGAATTCACCAGTACAGCATTTCTTCTCGAAATAAATTAAGAACAAGGTAATGGCAGATGATAATAACGATTAGAGATGAATTTAGTAGTCAGGTTACAGTCATTTTGTAGTAAAGTTTGTCCTTAGTTAGTGTTTGGTGATGATTGATTTAATATATTTGGTGCATTAAATTCATTGCCCACAATTATATGTTGCTTTCTAACCACTGTTTTATGCTTTTTATAGCTCTGTTACTTTTATTTGTGTGTGATAACTTTTGATCAGTGTTTGGTTAAATTAAAAGTGTAAAGTGTTTTGACCTGTCCTACATATAAGTAACATTTATATCCGGACGAAGAATAAGTGAGTAGTAACCGCTAGGATCTATTTATGTACTGTTGTTTAAATTTCATAGACATATTTAAATCCAGTGAAATAAGTCCTTGATAGAAATGTCCTTATTTTACACTGGGGTCATTTCATTTGCTCTTATATTTTGTATGATTTTAGGGGTGAACTACGATCTTTTATTGGATCAATGCTTGTAGCAGCATTTTCTGGTGTTAGTGTTTCTTTCGCTATACTAAGTAAGCGACTATCAGCTTTAATTGGGAATGCAATATCACTTTCATTATTACCACCAGCAGTTAACTGCGTAAGTCGGTCTGTTGTTTCTAGACCATTATTATCATCATCAATATTATTATTACTATTAGCATTAAATATTCAAAGAATTAGCCCGAAAACTTAATACTCAGTAAAACTTAAATTTGGGGTTGGTAGAGAAAGTTTGTAGCTCAGATGGATGATTTTAGTGGATTTTCGTTTTCTTAGCTAGATGGTTTAGTCATGAAGCTTTCATTGTTCTTCTCAATAACATCAGTAGTAACTTCAATCAGGAGTGAAGTATTCAAATTTCTCCATATATGACTAACAGTTTGTCCCGTTCTATTTAAAATTTGTTTTCATTTTTAATTATTTGACAATGAACTCAACTGATAATCCTACTCTAGCCTCCAATCCAAATCTGGTCATAGTTTAAAGTTCCTTTTAATTCCAATTAATAATCAATAATTAAGTTCAGATAGTAATAAATACAATCCTAATTTGAATAGCGTAAATTTTTTAATTACTATCGTTAGCATCCTTTCAGAATTCTCTCGATGAAGCTCCTTATTACGTCATTGTTTCTATTATATTGTTTTTTTTTTCAGGGTCATTTGTTATTACTCTCTCTTCTGGCCATCTCCACTGGAGAGAAACGTGAGGTAATTGTTCACTTTTTTGACGACACAAAAGTAACACGTCAGCATTATATATATATATATATATATATATATATATATATATATATATATATATATATATATATATATATATATATATATATATATATAGTTCCGTGTCCCATATTTCGGAATTTATATCCACTTTACACTAATCAGTCATTTTTAATTGCATAAACTATATTATATTAATAACACAATTGTAATGAATGACTGTTCGATGATAATAAATATACATTTATGCACAACTAATGATAACATTTAAACAATTATATGACAAATTAAAATAACCAAATAAATGTTCAAATTTTTTAATAAATTAATCTTTATATACTTTTATGGATATGTTCTGATGGTTACCAGTATATAAATAATTATAATTACGCGATTAAAATAGTGTCTTTACGATCTGTAAAGTACACATTTTTTTGTGAAACAGTAAATCTATTTTACTGATTTGTTCTTTTTATAATTCAAATCAATTGCTTATTATGAAAGTATTAAGTTATAATGTGAAACCAAAAAAATAGAAAAAGACTAGAAATAGTCATATAATTCCCATTTAGATAGTAAAAATATGAAATTCAGAGAACGGTTCTCTTTGAAATGAATTTATTATCGAGCTATATAAAAGTATATATGAAAATATTTTTCAAGTATCAGTTCTGTGAGGATGTACGAACAAAAAAGAAACATGATGATGTAATAGACAGATTATAGTACTAGATTACATAATGTAAATATTAACAATAAAAGATTATGAATGTATGTAAATAAATAGTTCTGAGCCTCTGGAACCACCAACAACAAATTAGTTGTCTACAACTATTTGTGTATAAACTCCCACTTTTGATTGCTTAATTGGTTAACAATAATCCTAGTGTGTGTAAACAACAGATCTTATTTGTCAGAAGGGGTTTTGTGGAGATTGTAGTAATTTCAATGATTAAGATCATGAGTCAGTTGAAGCTAGACCACCATGGAAAACCTGGAAGCACTGGACGGCCGTTTCGTCCTATTATGGGACTCCTCAGCAGTGTGGTTTGAAATATTTAGACTTGATTTTGTCAATAATTACTGTAACAGGGACTATGTGAATACAAGTGATTAAATGTCTGCCTTTTTCTAAATAAAACTGTCAATCGACTTATATACACATATACCCTTACGATGTACATATAATTTTGAAATCGTTTCACCTGATGGATTTGTTCTGTCAATAAATGGTTTTATTTCTACAGTAAATGTTTATAAATGAGTCAAGTTGTTCACTGTTTCGAGGACAATGATTGTTTCATTCTTCACTTTTTTAGTATGAAACAACAACAGATGTGGAATCGAATGTTACAGCCACATTGCATTATTGTACATATCCATGGATTCGACAATACGAATTTATCTATATGCGAAATCATTGTAATGCTCCTTTGGAATTCCTTTACGTTGGTTTATCAAGCTTCTGTCTTGTAACAATGAACATCATGTTAATTCTAGTTACTGGATATACGGTGAATAAGGTAAGGTCGGTCACTCACTTACTCAGTTAGTCAGAATACAGACGAAGAAGAACATCCTTTTAAAACAATTATTTTTTTGTTATGATATGTAACAGTTAAAAGGAATCCTATTTTTAGTAGAACAGGTCGGTGTTGAACTATCATTGTTCATTTACCATTCCCTGTCAGCATCAGACTGAAACAAAAAGCTTTATATATATCAAATTATCATTCTTAGATTATACAACTACAATGATTGATATTCTCACTGGTTAAATAAATTTTTATGCATTTATCGTCATTAGGTGATTAAACCTGATGGATTCTAGCATACTGAACTCAATATTGAGACCTAGAACAGAGTTTTCAACAGATTAGTCACTGGATTAATGTTTGGAAATACCCACATTGTTACTGCTGATGAGTGCCTAAATTAGAACAACTAAACAATAACTATTCAATGAAACTTATTTTACACTGAATGATGGGGAAGTTATGTAATGCTAATTTAACAATCTTTCTCCTGTCTGGGCAAATGTGTAGAGTGCATTTAAACAAGCAGAGCTCCTAAAGGCCAGCACAAAAAAGTTCACTCTCAGTGAGAAATACCTTTTGAATCAACCAATATTAATTTCAGAGGGATTCGGAAATCTTATCCGATTTAATGAACTCCAATGAAGCCGTACGCTAACCAGAAACCAAGTGAGCAAGTGATGGATACTTAATATTAGGAATTCACATTCCATTAGTCTAATTACCCAATGACACATATTCACAATAAAATAATATCATCTCTCTAACTATCGTAATTTTGATTCTTCATTAGTACTGATTGAAGAGATTGATACGTTATTCAACAACAGTGACTATCAGAAATATTCCAATGGATTCTTTCTTTTTTTTTTTTCTTTTCATGTAGATTAAAAATCTGGTCCCACTTTCGTTTACAAATGAAATCACTCGGAGATTTTATCAAAAAGATTTACGAGCAAGTAAAACTGTTAAAAAAAATAATCTAAAATAATATTCTTTCAATTTTTAGGGTTCAAGGTCACACGCGACTTTCAACCTGTCTTTACATTTGATTTATTCTTTTTCTAAAAATTCATATAAACAATGTGTGTGTGTGCACCAGAATTTGATATAATAACAATCATTTAGGAAACTGCAGGTAACTACTAGTTATTACCAATTCGAATGAATCACTTTGTAAATGAGAATGATGCATAAATTATTTGTGTTCAGTAAGTGATGGGATGAAATGTGTATTTTGATTAATTGAATAAATGATGCGTGTATTGGTTGAAAGTCAATGAATCAATCAATAGTTAGTGATGTAATGCATAACTAAAATTATTTCAGATCGTAAGACAAAATGAAGTCAACAGATAATATTGGATCAGATTCAATTTGTTAAGAATGACTTAAACTTTACTTCTTCTAGATGATAATAATTATGTCCTAGTGTAGGACTCCTTAGTAGTTGGCATCTATCACCCCACCAGGGATTGAAACCCCTGACCTCCAACCTCTAGATTTTAATGGTTGTTTAACTAAGATCAGTACATGATTTAAACTGAAAATTCACCGATCGCCATAAATCCCTTATACTACTTATAATAATTTTATTGTAAAATAACTGTTTTTGATTCGTAAATTAAATTATACTACAAACTAGTGAGGGCTTTCCTTTTGATTGATTGGAAGAACTGGGCGCAAACTAGTTTATTACTAATTTGCCACTTTCAAAATCCATTTTGATAGTTATAAAATAAAACAGACTCACTGAATTAACGTAGCTTCATAAAAGACAAGACAGCACTTTACGTCCGTCCTGAGGTTTTTTTAACCCAACCCATAAATGTAACAATATAACTTTACTTAGTTTTATGCTTCTGTAATTCTGTGTACTTTACGTTATACCCATTTGATAATCGCTAACCAAGGTTCTTCAATAAACATAAAACTCTTTACTTTTCCTTTGTGTGCGTGAATGAAAATGAAGTTGCTAAAGTGTTCTCGCTAGTATTGATTTTGTGACTCCCAACATAGATGACTCTAAACAGTTCATTGTATGCTAAAAATTTAAATTAATTGAACTAATAATATATATATATAATTAACATCATATTCAAAAATATCCATTTTTCTGAAATGCGGATTGGGCTTTAAGACTTTGACTTTTTCTGGTTATCTTGTAACTAATAATCCGATAGGCTTTGATGATACTCAGCTTTGATGTAAATATCCCCTAACTTGGCTAACATCACAATCAATAAAATTTTAGTGTTCATAAGTTCTCTGAGTTGGATATTTTAGTGATAGAGCTTTAATTGTCGTTCTGGACGACAACATCATCACCTCCATGTAGAAATGAGGTTCTTAGTTATTTTTCAAGTATTAAATAGGTTCGTCCTGGTGGTTGTTTTCGTAGGTTCCCTTGTCTTCATTTGTCATTGTGTCCTACGTTGATTATTATGTTTGAATAATTGACGTTATGCATATGGATTGATAGATCGAGTTTATTAACTGGCTATTGATCTGTATTGCATGCTTCTAGAAATTCTTTGTCATTCTTGAAATCTCTTTGATTTAGAGTCTCTATGTTTCTCAGTCAAATTCATGTCCATGTTCGTCTATGGTGTATGTTAGTTATACCTGTTGACATAAGTAGTGTATAACACCAATCACAAGTGGAAGGCTTGGCAGCAGAAGGTCGGGAAGATCAAAGAGAAGAGAACAGGAACACAGAGTAATTGTTATGGCAATGAAGGAACGATGAAGTTTTAGACAATTTATGGAGGATCTGCAGATGAAGTATAGAACGTATGGTTTTCATATTTGACAAAAGAACTCTATAATTTCGTACTAAAATACATTTGCTGTCCCCACCTATGTTCTCGTTCGCTACAATATTCGTGATAACATATGATATTGATTCAGCAATTCTTCTACATTTTACAGACAAGTTAAAGACGAAAGTAATCACAGATGTTTGTCAAGAGATCTGAGAATACCCTCTGTTTATTAATAGAATTATTTGTGTGTTTTTATGCAGTTAGCAATCAGAAATCTGAAATATGGTTTTTAAAAAAATGGAGTATGACTGATTAGCAGTGAAATCAGTAGCATACATTTTGTGCTAGTTGAGACTCGTCATCTGGATGTACTCACATTCCAGTATTGATGGTCATATAGGGATTAGAACCTAACGTTCACTCTTTATATACTAAACTCATTAGTCTAGGTTCCCACTAACTTGGTCAAAGGGTGTGATATTTAAATCATTACTAGCATAGGTTTATCATGTCAATATGCAGGAATGAATTTGGATTAGTCTTTGTTTGAATATGTGCAAGTAAAATAGAATTTGAAGATAAGTTGTCATTTACACAGATCTTGACTAAACAGTAAGAGGACTAGATAGTTTACTCACAACTCTCGATTTCATGATTAATCTTTCTAATCAATAAATTTTGTATTAAAGGAATCTACTAACATACTGGAACATTTTTATACTTTATTTTCCTGTATATTTTTATATAACTGAGTTTGCTAATCAACCCTAGACGTCATAATCTACTAGGTACTCATTTGATTGTAATTAACCAACTTTAAAAATACATTGTTCGTTAGCAAATTATATGCATTTAAAGTCTTATCATTACTATTAGCATTATTTGATGGGGTGGGGGGGATGATACTCAACTGAAATACTTCATCGTTATTTACTGTTTTACAAAATCTGTGACAGACTATAAGAATAACAATTAATGTGATTTAAAGTAATTAAAAAAAGAGAAAAGTTTTTGTTGAACTGATTTGAAACCATTGTTTACCATTTGCAGGTTTTTCTACTAATGTTTAATAAGCAAATATCGACTATTGATAAAATTAAAAATTATTGAACCAGAACATATTTATCAATCCGCTTTCTATTGTACACATATATATAAAGAAAATAAGTAATAAATAATCAGATCCTATAATAACATGTTTGGGATAGAAAGATAAAGTTTATTTTATTGAAGTATAAATGTGTACGTATATGACCATTATCTAGAATAAAACTATTTAATTTGATCGATAAACTGACCATATGTAAGACATAATTTAATTATCATTTATTTTATCGTACCTCTTTTCTTTTCAACGCATACATATGCTTCAATTAATCCATTGTTCACTATAGGAGGTTCGTGAAAATTACAAATGTCTGCATAAATTTGATGCAGCCGGTTTAGCCACTTATGCATATAATGAGTATTTACGTTTAAATAAAATTAATACACATGATGATGAGCTAACAAATTTGGATATTGAAGATGCAGATCAAATTGCCAATGACTTTCATACAATTATGAAGGTGAGTTTATTTTGTATAAAGATTTCAGTGAATAATTAAGAGCTGTGTTAGTGGGTTTGATTCACTTTGTTTATTATTGTGGGGATTAGTGGAGATTGTAGTATTTTCACAGTTGAATTTACGAGTAGATCTAAGCCAGACCACCACTGAAAACCTGGGATCGTGGATGCACATTGCTGAGGAGTCCCATACTAAGACGAAGTGGCCTTCCAGTGCTTCCAGGTTTTCAATAGTGGTCTAGCTTGGATCGACTCGTAAATTCAACTGTAGAAATAATTTGTGTATGTTGGTTGAGGCCGACAAAGATATGAGCCATCAAAACGTGTTTAAAAACATTCGAAAATAAATTGTTCATTCATAAACTTTTGAGTTTGCAATTTCTTTGAGTATGATTTTAAATGGTTAGATGGGGTATCATCATGTAGCTTCTAGACTTAAGTTTCATGTTTATTGAGGCTGATAAAAGATGAACATCTCCCACCATTAAAAATAGATGTATTTAGACATATTTTCCGTTTCCAGATTTCTGTATGGATCATGGGATTTAGGATTTATGAAATCAACCACTAATGTTTCCATGATTGCATACCGCTTATGTGTGCAGTGATAGTAAAAATTGTTATTATATGTATTGGATGTTTTTCTAACTCCGGTCAAAATGTCTGCGGTATTATGCGTTTATATAGACTAATTCTCTCAAAAGTGATGACAGTTTGAGTAATTAGCTAATCCGACAGTAGCTGCTACCTTGACGTGGTGGTCGGGCTTGCCTATCGTGATGACCCAACCGAGCTATATTGGGTGGAACATATGTTCCTGTATGTTCTACCATGACATGCAGGTCGATTGGAGAACGGTAAGACTAAAGGCAGCAACTCAAGGTCTGAGGGCGAAGTCGTAATGCCGGCTGTAGAGAGATGTGACAGCAGTAAGGTGTTTCCCTCGAACAACCAAGATCTGCAGCGATGCTGTCTTCCCACAAGGAAGGAAGGGGTTAGAAAAGGTTGACCCTAAAAATGTCACACCTCACCTTACCTCACGGATTTCCGTCTCCGGAGGAAAGGCCCTTTGAAGAACGGAGCTAACACATTAAAAACCTCCCACAAAAAGGCCGTGCGCGACCAGCCTCAAGCAGTTGTCTCTTGGGCTCTGCGGTCACGCTCCCAGGTCGTTAAGACCAGCACTAATTCATCTTACTTTTCAGGTTCCTCAAGAAATACCCTTCCACGGTGTGGGCAGCCGGGATGTGACATCAGCCCTCATACCCGTAACAGCACACGAGACGAAGTTGGTCACATTCAAATCCTTTCTACACCTCCTAATAACTCTCTTATCTCCACCTGTAGTCTTTGAGGGAACTGGTGCTCCCTGGCGGATTCGATCTCGTGTCACCCAGCTTCACAGTCAGAGACGTTACCACTGAGCTATCTGGGCCGCGACCGACCTCCTGTAGGACTGAGATGTAATCACAATTGATTGATCACTGGGTGACCAATGTCATGCGTGTCTAGTCCTTATTATTAGTGCAGATCGAATGCTATCGATCATGTCGACTACCTCCAACCACCATCTAATCTTACAATAGTGCCCGCAATGTCGAGTCACCTAGACTGGTGGCCACAGTGCAACATGATCGATAGCATTCGATCTGCACTAATAATAAGGACTAGACACGCATGAAATTGGTCACCCAGTGATCAATTAATTGTAGGTTACTAGTATTTGATCATAGGTGTCTTCGAAACATTGCTCGTATATCCTGGGACCACCGAGTAACTCAGTTGTTAGGAAACTGGTACTAGGTAAGGATGGTAAATCAATTGATGAAGTAGTGAAACTTAATCAGTTGAGATGGCTGGGACATGTGTTGCGCATGCCAGACCACTGACTGCCACGACGTGCGATATTTTATGGTGTAGGAGTAAGTTGGAAGAAAGCTAGGGGCGGCCAGACCAAAACATGGAACAAATCCATAAAGTCACTGACAAGGGGATTGAGCCATATTGATAGGTGTAGACTACCTGGTTTGGGTCCGCGAGAAGATAGCAACCGATGGTTAGAGACCCTGAATGACATGGCTCAAAATCGTTTGCAATGGCTCAGGTGCATCCACTCTTTGTGTTCTCCCGAATTCTAATCATCTGAATTCTTCCTGTCCATTTCTTCTCTTTCCAAATTTATTTCACTGGATTATACCCCTTCAATAACATTAAACCCTAATTTTCCCTATTACTATCCATACTTTCACTACCTCCACCACTACGGGATTTGAATCGATAACTGAATCTCTGTGCTAATGTGGTATGGCAACTGGAATTGATGTATGTACGTACGAAGTTCCACGTTGTTACGGACTGACTGACTGAATTAGCCAATCAGGTTAACGTAGAATAAACTGATTTTAGTTTTTAGGTTCGTGTATTTCCGAGGTAATTATTAACTAACTGTTTTTTTTCCTTAATAATGGTAGGTAACTGTGTAAAAATTTGAATTAGTTCATTTTAACACATGACTATGGAGGATTTGTATCAGAAGGGGTTTTTGTGGATATTGTAGTAATGTCAATAGTTGAGATCATGAGTCAATTGAGGCTAAACCACTATGGAAAACCTGGAAGCAGGATCGTGGATGAGCACTTCTGAGGAGTCACACGATAGAACGAAACGACCGTCCAGTGTTTACAGGTTTTCCATAGTGGTCTAGCTTGAATTAACTCATGATTTCAACTATTGAAATTATGGAAGATTTGGTATCTTAATTCGAAATACGAATCTTGATTGCACATGAGACGTAAATGTGAGCATACCGCCCATGTGAGTAATTTTCGGGCTGTTCCAATTAGCTTTCTGTAATCAGTACTTGTTGTCTATCAAAGTTCACAACTGATTAAAATGAAAAGTATCGTAACATTTAGAAATTAACTTTGTATGAAGATAGGTACTAATGGAAGCATACTATGTTGCTGGATCTCTCTACTAGATATACACTTTTAAGCATAATATTAAGTCCATAAAGAACACTATCGAACATAACATTTTTAAACATCTTTAGCTCAAGTCAATTAGGTATCAGAAACACAGGGGAGGACTGCTTTAATTTAGATTCGAACTATGGTGACAAACGTAGAGATACTACTCTGAATTTATCTATGCCAAGATAGATATTATCTGACATAACACTAATGTCACACAACAATTTATGTGAAAATCTAAACCGTCTCTAAATATTGACAACCAAAGGCTTCTTGTGTTGTATAAGTACTGCATGCTAAAGTGGCATTGAGGGTACAATATGCTTACCAACGTTTATCGGAGGCTGATTAGGTACTATTTGGATAGAGTACAATAAAATGAAATGGTTCATATAGACAGGAGAGTAATTTAATTCTGCAAAATAGATCCTCATTGTCACTACTTACTTCCTTCACATATGTATTAGGAAAGTCAGCACTTGCACAGCTGCAGGGGAACAAAGGAAAAGACCTAACCTAGGTTACCCCGTTAATAGTTCGGAGCAACAGACAGTAGTGTTTGTATACTATTACTTAGCATGGCGTTTTTAAGGTGTTGGCAAATGTCTCAGGCACATCCCTATCAAACAAACAATTTCAGGGCACAGTCCTGTTCAAATAATCGAAGGGGATCGAAATGGGAAGAAATAGTATTATTTTTTATTATTATTGACCTACAGTATGTGTTTGTTCAAGCATTTGATGAAGAGGGAAGTTATTATCATAACCTGAACGATGACCATTCCAATCCTCATGAGTCAACAATGTATATGTCTTGAAAAATCTGAGCAGCATGATGACAGCCGTTATGTACGGTACAACCGATAGGCGATTATGACATACTTCACTCAAACACCTTGGTGATACGGGTTATATCTCATATCTATAAAATATTCTGTTGTGTTTCTAATTAACTCTTTCAAGTCTGACCACTTTCGTATATCTATGTATCATAATTTTTGCAGTCAATTCTTCGTATGACTAACCTTAAAGTATATTCCGTTTATTATATTGTAGGATCTCAAAAAGGATCCCTATCTGCAAACTATTACTGCAGAAACAACCCAAGGTGATAACAGCTTCTTGGTAAGTTTTAAAGTTGTTTGTGCATGTGATGTTCTTGTAGATTGGGCTACTTTAAAAGTTAAAGTAATTAGTCGCTTTAATAAATTTCGATAGTGTAATAAGAAGACAAAGATTGTCAGAACTATGTGATATATTAGTGCAATACATTTCGAACAATCTGATCACACATACTCTTTCTAAATCATCACTTTCGGAAACAGATAATCAAGCGTAGCAATACATTTTCCCTCGTAGGTTAATTAGTCATACCACATTAGTCATTTATATAAGGAGAGAAGTAAAACAAACATGTTCCGTGTTTTTTTGCATTTGAGAAGTACCTTCCATAACAAATATTAACTATTCTTATTGTACTTCAACTTTAGAATTTTATTCACTTGATATTGTTTTATTTGAATCTTCCCATTGATGTTTAGGACTGAAATTGTTCAGTCTCTTATTGGTATATGTGCATACTGTGCGTATGTCTCGATATTGCCTTAATTTACAAGCATTATAAGCAAAGATGGATAGTGGCTAGCAGTGGAACAATTTCAGTCCTAAACATCAATGGGAAGATTCAAATAAAAACAATATCAAGTGAATTAAACTTCACCCCATTGCACAAGCAAGTGGCTATCAGGACTCAGTAGCTAAGTGGATAACGCGATGGCGTTTGAAGCGGACTGTAGTGGGTTCGAGTCCAGGAGTGAGCATCAACTCTGAGATGCAGGTACATCCAGCTGACGAGTCCCAAACAGGACGAAACGCGCGTCCTGGATTCCACTGCTAGCCACTATCCATCTTTGCTTATAATTTAGAATTTTATGTTCTAAAATCTGTGAATTACTGTTAATCGATATGAGAATAAGCTAATTTTACTAAATTCGGCCTAGTGTTGAAAATAACGAAAAATAATATCACTATTTATTTCAAGGCTGTCTAGGAATTGAACAAATCAGTATGAGGTATGAATTTCTTTGTTATTCTTATAAATTGGTCACTTGATTGTGTTTCGTAATCAATAGTTTATATATTTTCGCGACCATGACATTATCATCATAATTGTGTACAAAAAATAGGTCCCGTTTATTCGCATATATTGTAAATACTAATTTATTCAGTTCATATATGGTTTTCATTGTACTTGTTTTACTTTTTATCTCACTTATTCAGAAGAGATTTATGGAGAAATCCGACGAATTATCATCGAGAAACGCTGTGAAACGAGTAAAAAAGCGCCATACATTTTGTTATCCCGATAAAAAGTCTATGATGTCCCAAGATGAAACAGTTGGCAATAATATTAATGGCACTACAAATATTAATAAAACTATTAACACTACCAGTCGTCCTACGCTTGTCAATAAACATATCAACAGTAACACATGTCATAATCTTGACAACAGGAATAATAATAATGTTACACGAGTAAAGCTAGCGTCTGAAATTAGACCCTCAAGTTTTGCTAATGAAGTAAGTTGATTTTACTGGTAAACAAAGTAATATTTTGTTGTGTCAAATGATAACAGAAATATTCTTTATTATTTTTTAAATGGATAAGTTGGTTAGAGAAATGTTTGTAAAATCTTAACGGTCTTTAAGATTCACATATTATTTAACATTATAATCAAGAACTATGGTGTACAAATTGCTTCGTAGATGTTGAACTAGTTCATACAAGAATGTGTGATATATAAACCAAATTGTTTGGTAAACTTGCAACAGAACTCCATTTTATGATTAGCTTGAAAGAGACCAAACAATCACTAATATTCTATTTTTATTAGCTAATTAATCGATTTACCATTAAAATATCTTACTAGATAGTTTTATCCACTTAAATTTAATAAGAAATATCAGGCTCAATAAAGACTAGAATCCCGAATTACTACCTGACGAGAACCTTGTTTTTCTAGCGATTTATGACTGGGTTCATCTTCTCTTTGCCGATTTGTAAGTTTCCAAGTACCTATATGTGTATATCATCGAGAAAACACAGAGATCATTTACTTTTTTCAACGGTATTAAGTACCCTCAATTTAGCTAGTATGATCTATAATTGTTTGTAGTCCTCATTTAATTTTATCTTCTCCAAACTATTTACCAGGTATATGTTAATCGGATAACAAATAAACTAGTTGCTGGAATAAACTACATCCAACGATTCCTAAAAGTGCTATCACATCTTCGACTGATGTGACATCATTAAAATTGATATAGATAACTTCAAAACAAAATGAAAATAACTTAACCGCTCCTGTTATTTTACTTCGAAGTGATTTAACAAATTCAAATTATGACCCGAAAATTCGAATATTTTAAAATGACATTATACCTTAATATCAGTTGACAAAGCCATTAGTTGATAGATAGGTGAGTTTTCCACTTCCTATAGTCTTCTGTAATAATTATCGGTCATTTTGGTTTGACTTTCCAAGTACCCTCATGAATTGACAAACATAAAATGTAAAGATGGTTGGAAGGAAGTTTCGTGATTTCCCGTGATATTCCTATCAAGAACGTGAATTATATCCAGTTCCGTTGTAGTTTTTTAGAGCTCAAAAAGAATATGGGTATAGATTTCAGATTAGTTGAACATATTCCCGAGGGTCATTAAACTTTTTATTCGTTATTTTTTTTCAAACAAAGTAGCTTGGATAATCAGTTAGTCATAACTTTTACCTTTCTAAGCAGATTTCTTACTCTTTTATTCATGAAAACTGAAATAGAATCTTAAAACAAATGATGTCCAGTTTTCACCATTAATTGAAAAGGGCAAATATCGAAAATGTCCAATGATATATGAGATTACAGAATCGAAAATGAGAAGTAAGTTTATAAATTTTATATAAAAATCTGTTCTTTTTTTCAGCAATCACAATCACATTTAACAGCTTTATTATTGTTACGCTAATATTTTTTCCAAGATACATGATACTAACGAAGGATTGGAAAAAAGAGGAAAAATTCATACAATCCATCTCCACATATTTTACAATCAATTAATTACGAATAATATAGGAAACAGGTATACGTATATAAGCGAATTTTGACTCTCGGACAGCTATTTAAACTAGAGAGCACAAAACTGAGTCGAATGAGCCCAGTTTTATCTTTATGATTTATTCATTTTCACACATAGATATTGGTACAAGGAGGCACCAAATACATATGCGCCACACGAATCTCAATTGGTTTGTGTGAGGGCTGTGAAACTGCACGGGTGCCCAAACCGAAACAGGTGGTTTTCTTAGGGGGCCACACCCCGAGCCTTCGACCTGAATGTCTGACCCACAAGGCAGTGGAGCATCGTAAGGAGATGCAGTCCCATGGTAGCCGGTGACCAACGACTGGTTCATACGCTATTTGTTCCTTCAGGATACTGGAACCAGCCCATATGCACCATTGGTTTGGGATCCGGTTAAAGCGCCGGATATTCGCTTTTCGTCCTCTCATTTTCGTAAACAACGACCCCGCCACGAGAAGGCAGTGAATAGGACTTCCCTGGCAGAGGTTATATACGCGTGGCCATGTGAGAGCATTTCGAGAGCGAGAGCGGACTCTCCCCACTCTCGGCCGTACCGGGGCATTTGGGGGCATAATAAGGACCAGTTAGGATTTGAACCCACAACCAATCTCACTAGAAGTGGGCATCGCATCCCTAAACCACTGGACCGTCTACGTGTATGATATCACCATCAGTGACGAAATTAATCCCTAAGATGTTGCTAGTCAGATTAACCAATACACATTCAATGTATTAAAAAAATTAAACAAGAGTATTATTATTAGTAGTGGATATTTCAGATCTGATTTTTAAATTATTTGTCAATATAATTCTAACTTTTAACATAATATGCAAATTAGGGGGAAGGGCTATTTTCGATTGCATATAATTCTGATAATATCATCCTATATTTAAACAAGTAATTGATAAAACGACAGTTTTTCCAGGAGGTTACAGCTGGCCAACTCACTGAAGATTGTTGCTTTCCGAATTCTTATATTGAGAAACAAAACTGAATGGTCATATGAAAGATGAAGTTTATTCCATTTCAGCATTGAAATTTCTCTAGGCTTAGTTTAGTTTTTGGTATTCGAAATGTGTTATCGTGAATTTTAGACCAGGCAGTTTGGAACTTTAACTTACAAGCTACGCTTATACCGTTTGACTGTAGTAGAGGGCTTGGTAAAAGGAATTTAGTTTGGTGAACTGAATTCAGAGGCTTTTTTCAGAATCCCCTCCTAGCACTTATCTTCTCATCCTCTTTACATGACGTATGTACATGATTTTTCTAAAAAGTCCATATAAATAATTTTTGAGACTTCAACCATTATCACAATTACTAGCGGTCTATACGAAAATCCATAGCATTACGAACGCATACAATTCGAAATTGGTATTATTTTCAGGAAGTTCCGATTAGTTGCAGCTTTTTGATCCGAAACATATTTACAATAAACAGTGTTATTTGCTTTTAATTATTGAGACTTGTTTCTTGTATAACAAGTGGTTTGCTTGCTTACAACGCGCTAAAGATTAATACGCAACATGCATGTGACATGTATAAATATAAAAGATAATATTTGTTTCATCCAGTAATTATTTAATAAATTGACACTGTATAAAAATTTATTCCACAATTACAATCGTTTGACTACTTTAATGCTTTTATTTTATAGCTTCCAGTTCTACAGGAAGATTTGAAGTGGTGTCTGTAGAATGTCAATCAGAATCTACATATGATCCAGAACAGGATGATAAGGGCGAGAACAACACTATGTTGAGAAGAAACGTTTGAGAAAACCAAAGTAAAATATAGAAAACAGCAACCATCACAACAAAATATTGTTTACATTACGGTTATCTCAATTTTAAGATTTATCTTTAAAAAAACAAGTGTCTATCACTTCAATTTTATCAAAAATAAATCTATATTAGATTGACTGATTTATCTAATAAAAAGATGACGATTATCATTGTTTTTATAAGCTCGTTTTCTTTTCTGTTGTTATACATGAAGAATTATTCACTTCTATGTTTTAAAGAGTCCCATGAAAAGTCAGCTACAAGTGCAATATGATCACTTGGGAAATAGGCATTCGGGAGACCCAATTCACTAGAATCTTGCACAATTTGACCATTCTCATTGATTAACTGAATCAACAACTCTTTGATTTTCTCCAGTGGATCAATCGGCAACACATGGATACATTTTAAATTTGAGTCTGTATTATACAGTATAACATCCAAAACATTGTGAAATCCAGGCACCCAGTTAGTAAATTCAGGTGGATTATTTGCATAAGCTGATTCAAATATAGGTTGATAAGCAATCTCCTCATCAGATGGGCATCCATCACCTTGAGTGAGAGCGGTATACACATCACTACCTGGACACTGATTAATGTCCCCACAAAAAACAATTGGAATTGGTTTACTGAAGTGAACATGGAAATAAAGGAAAATTAACTGAATGATTGATCTAGTAAAACAGATTAAGATTATTTTTATTAAGAAAAGTTCCAAGTTTTAGAGCCTAAGAAACCTTACATATTCAAGTGATAATCAGCGTCAAGAGTCTACATTCTATACGAATACATTTAGATCAACAACTATCTTCTATTAGGTGGACAGAGTAACTAAAAATCTATATCAAACAAACACATCCGCATGGTAATATGTACATATTTAACCACTATTTCATTAGTACTATGAGTGAACTAGAAAAAGTGTTGAGGACTGAAAGACAAAAAATACACCAATGAACAAAAAAATACTTGCTTATCTGACTGTTTGTAATCCATAGCAAGTTTTGATAAGTAGTAATGAACTGTACGCGCTTGAATCATTCGAATCGGACTAGCTGAAGGATGAAAATAAAAGTGGGCATTAGAAACAATCAGTAAAGGAGATTGTGATGTGGTCGACTTCTCTCGAAATATTCCACTGATCAGACACTGCGATAATGACTTTTGAATATGGGTTTCAGTACTCTCTTCACTAAACGAATGGCCTGTTGAGCCACAACTGAAGGTTGTGGAATTGAAATTGTTTAACATAGTTGATAAAAATGGAACAGTTGATGCATAATCAAGTATCGATGGTAGGCCGCATTTCGACACAAGTTCAAACCGAGTACGACGGTAGAAGATTGCACAACCTTCACCCTTTGAAGTAAAAAAGTAGTATATATATATATATATATATCAAAGCAAGCAACAGTTGGTTAGTTTTTGAAGAAACCTTGTGAGTATTTAATCGATTCCCTAGCTATTAAGGATGGAAACCAAATGAGAATTTATGAGTCTAGTTACACACAATCTTTTAGTGAGTATTTTTAGCGTCAGCTTCATACTTTTCAAACCTTGCCACCAGTGACGGGAATAGATGAGGTGCGACATTTTTGGAGTTGGCGTGCTTTAACATCTATTTGTTGTAGGAAAGCAGAATATTTGTATTGTAGATACTGGTTGTCTGAGACAAACACATTACTCCCGTCCTTAATATGATTTTGCGTTCGGACGTTAAATTGTTGTCTTTAGTCTTACATCTCTCTAACCGATTTATCTGGCCTGACGGAACGACGTAGTTAATTCGGTAGTCACAACAGACACTTCCGATTAGCACGATATAGTAGGAACCACAGTTGGATTTGAAACACAACTATCAGGTTTACACGAATTCTAATTCATTTCACTTGAACATAGTACATTGAAAGCTAAGTTGAACTGCTAAAACACAAACGTTGTAGGTTGTAGTTCCTTGTATAAACTTTTATGTAGCTTCTGCATGGAGTTACTTTTAAGAAAAGCGAACTACTAAATATTTGTGGTGATAAGATAGTATCTATAAAGAGGATTAAAGATTGTTCAATGACCGAGAAGTTTAGTAATTTTTTCGGTGTACGTCCAACTATAGTGAACAGAGAAGTTTTAACATTTTGCAACATACAAAACTAGATGGAGATCCCAACAAATATGTAGTTATTTTGAAGTCTTAAGCTGAGTTATGAATAGTGGAGCTTTAAAAGTTTCATGAGGCAGTCAATTTCAAAAAAGGATCGAACTGTGCTTCCCCCTCGATGTCATGATGTTTACTAGGCCCTAATCAATTATAGAAGACACACTATAAATTGCTATATCCGAACGAAGAATAAGTAAATGGTAACTGCTAGGATCTATTTATGGATTTTTATTATATATATTCTTATTGTATAACTATTAAGTAAGTAGATTTTATATATTTATATTCCTTTTATTATAAGCTTCCATTCGATCTATTAACTACTATTACATGATTCACTATTCCTAAGTTATTCCCAGTTTACTAGTTACAGTCTTTCACACTCAGACACATTTAGCTTGATCTTGTGTGGTTGTTATTTTCTATTTTATTGTATGATAAGGTCTGATTTGCTCGTATATAAACTGTGTATGCCTGAAATACGTGATTAATGCAGTGGAAGCTGCGTTCTGGACTCAATAGGCAGGGCTAGGTAGGAGGACCAATCAGGACTCAGAATTGACTCTAGGCTGCTCGTACTGGTTCATGCGTCATCGGTCTGGTCAATAAGTCGGTGTTCTAATTGGCGATTTAGTCATGTGATAATCAACCCAGCAAAAGGCATAGATAAATACGACTGTTGATGATGGTATTGACGATAAGTTGTAATTTATGTGCCAAACGTAAATTGATGTTCTTGGACATTGGAACTCACTGCGTGAAATCTAGTGATATGAAAACATGGATCGGCACACATCTCTAAGCTTTATGTTGATGATGATTAAGTGATAGTCCATAAATCTAAACTGGAAGTGAAGGGGGAATCAAGCCTTCAGCCTATTAATTGAAAAGCGAGAACTTGAAGCACCACGTCACCGCTTTCGAATTTTTAGACTACAGCACAATAAGTACCTATATATTATCACTTGTATTAACTGCATTCAAAAATAACAAATTTACTAGAAACCACTAAATTATTTCATTATCAATAAACTTATACTGAAAAAATACGCTACAACTACCTTTTCCTTTTCTGTGTCAACTTTAACTTTAGCTGGATCATTCGGATCAGTTATGACTGCTCTTTTGGCTAAGAATATGCCGTCCATATTTCGATGGGATCTTAAAGCATTTAGAAGGTATTTGTCGTAAACCCATCGATCGACTTCTTGAAGGCAGATAAAATCCGACTGATAAGAAAACAGTTCACGTAAAATCAAAGGTAATCTGTAGGCTGAACTGATACAAGCCTCTGGGCAATGTTTGAATATATGGGCACGAGCAAAATCAGATCGAGCATACATTTCGGCCAGAATATTGTAACTTACAACACGTAAATGTTGTGAATCTAATTGATTGTTTTCAATCCACTTATACCTGTTAATTAATATGAGAATAATAGTAGGACGTTAGGAGACTGAGTGGAGAAACTTCTCATCTGACACGACAGTGTAAGTACAATTTGCATACAAAAAAAAGAATCGAGAGTATAGCTAAAGTGATTGTTTAACATCTATTAAGGTGATACCCTGACTTTTACAGTCTACAATTATTGCTGTTTTGAAGAATCTAACACTGTGGTTCCCAAAGCTCTATATCCCTTTGACTAACGTATATATAACCTGAATAATTCAATAGCTATGTGTTAACCAATATCCTTAAATATCTAGATTTTTGCGTGACAGGTTCAAACTTCATTCGTTAACCAACGTTTAGGAAAGCATCATTAGGACAAAATATAACATGAGACATACTGTATTGACCATTTTACAGTTCTGCTACTTCTTATGGAACTCAGAAAATCTTATTTTGATCCTTGCAAAGTGCATGCATTACTATCGATAAGTTTCTCCGAAAAAGTGGTTACCACCATTAGCTGCAACAAGTACAGTTACTTGATAGAGTATACCTTGAATTGCTATCCTCAACGTATTACAAACCAGCTAGAAATGTAGAAAATATTTATTTTAACTATGTTTTACTCCATTATGTAAAACTACTTTTATGGAGAATGAAATTAAACCAATTATTAACGTTCTTACCTCTGTTGATGAAATACTTGATTAGGAGCCATAAGTACAGGCGATTTGCATTCAATCGGTTGTCCATAAGGATCAAAAAATTTGTTTGTTCCGAATGGGACACCGGCCATACCTTTAATATCACGTACACGAACTTTCAACTGAATTGATAAACCAACATGATCTTCAGTTGGTATGAATAAGAAGCCTTTGTGACACGGTTTATCGGACCATTTTTTAGACTGTGAATTACAAAGGAAAACAATCACACACATGATCGAAATAGACAAAAAAAATTCAAAAATATTGGATCTAGACATTAAAATCAAGAGAATGAGCTGTAATACAGAAAGTGATTGAATGAAACTGAAAATTTCTACTAATACGAACTTTACTGTTCTAATAGATTGTCAATAATTTCAAAACGGTCAAATCTTAAGCCCATGACTTTTATGCTTAGAGTTATGAGAAAATTAACTTAGTTTCATATTGATAACTAGACAGTTCACGCGTCACGGTTAGGCGAATTTAGACAAATTTAAGTAGGTAAGGTTGGGAGAGATCTGGGATTTTTAGATTATGATACTGGAAATCATTATCGACGCTCATTGAAAAGTACACAATAGTCTCCTTGTAAATTGCTTATTTGTTACAAACCATGACAAGAACTGGACGACATTTCAGATAAGCAACTATTGATTACATGTAGTGTCTAAATTCACGTAAACTTGGATGTAAAATCCTGCATTTTCACATACTGTTAACATTACAAATCAAGAACTTTGTAGATTAGTGCTAGATGTGCCTACCTACACACATTACTTAAGATCATCTAACTTGCATTGAGCATGAAAAATGTTTGATGATAGTGTATGCAATAAAAGTCAATGAACTTACAAAATAAATAGATTTTATACTGTTATATTTTTTGAAGTTTAAATGTTGTAAATTCGCTAGAGATTAGAAAAGAATACTAAATATACATGAAATAGAATTTTTTGTGTGGTTATTTCATTCAATAGGATAACACATATGCATAAATACACTAGCGAATTTACAGAAACAGTATCATAGTCAAGCTACTGTATATCAAACTGAAAAAGGACGAATAGGAAATGTGATTACCTGTCCAACAAACCATAGAAATTCAGAATTTGTCAGACATATATTTTCTCCTTCAAGAAGCGGTACAACAGGGCAACCCACCATTGGAATTGTATTTAAACGACATTGGATTAAATGTGCTGGGTTCTTCTGGACAGCATAAACAAGCAAGGTATTTTTTTCAGGATAGTCATGCATGGAAAAGTTTATTTGCAACAATAATTGATACGGTTTACTAGCATTATTATTAGTAGAGTCGGATAGAAAACAATCTTCAAAAGTCTTGTCATTACTAAATTCTGTTAAATCAGTAGATCCATCTGTACTTTTGTAAACCAGGTTAGCTTTTGTAGCTAAATAAACTCTGTTATTGGTTGATATACTCTTTCCTTTCAAATACTGACCATTAATGGAAGATATAAGACGAGTGAAGAAAACTGATAAAGGTTCGTGAACTGAACACTCAAAAGAAAATCGTCGTTGCCTACGATCCTGCTGAACTTCAAAATTAGTTGAAGCTGGGATCGAATATGGAATAAACAGTTCTGCAATCAGCTTCTTACATTCCTGATTAGCTACTGATCGGATAAAAAAATACGGGAAGAAATTCGAAAATACATCCGAATCCACTTTTGAATGATCTGTTTGCATATGTATTTTGCGGTAATGTCTACAGAAGAGATATCGAAACGAAACTCGTATCCCCATCAATTGGATTTAAACCGTAGAAAGACTTTTACAGGAACGCCTACAAAATTGTAGAATAATTTATTTAAAATTGTGAAGTCGGTTTATCGCACATTATATATATATATATATATATATATATATATATATATATATATATATATATATATATATAATTACTATATTTCTAGTCACATCTGATATATGTGGAAAGAATATAATCGCCTTAAAAGTCTACTAATACTGTCCAAAGTGGAAAAAACATGAAATTTAGTAATAGCTACCATGGTTAGAGTAATATTTCTACTATCCTCTTAACATATTACTATAGTACGATGTGCAGAATAGTTACGGATCTATATTATTCTAAATCATAACTAGTTGGCTGTTATTTCAGACATGCAATAGTACTAAAGAAATAAATAACTCAGTCTTCAAAAAGGAAACTACGACCGAAAATACACTATATCTAATAAACTTGATTAGCTTTAAATACACTTAATAAAGATATCATTTACGTATAGTGCATTTAATCAGGTTTATTAGATGTAGTGTATTTTCGGTCGTAGTTTCCTTTTTGAAGACTGAGTTATTTATTTCTTTAGTACTATTGCATGTCTGAAATAACAACCAACTAGTTATGATTTGAAATAATAATATGGATCCCTAATTATTCTGCACCTAACTATATGAGGAAAGTGAAATAAGCAACTTCCTGGGAAAATGTTCTAGAAGCAAACTACCTACATGGAATTTGTGTGTATAGCAATGTATCAAACATGTAAATTCTGAAATCGAAATCCGACCAATATGTGCCTGAAAGGTGACAATGGGATTATTTCTACAAACCTTGGTTTGGTATATTTGAGTCATGAAGCATCTGTTAACAAAACACTGATACAAAAGTAAATTGATGAATAAAAATAGCCAAAGCCATTCAGTTGCGTTGAACGAAATCTCACATTGGTTTCATAAATACCATGAAACTAATTAATGAGATGGGGATGAGAAACCATAGGAAAATTAAATAAATCAGAGAAGAACCTCATACCGTAATATTGAAATTGATGGAGAAGCTTGGATCCTACCCCTTAATGATTAACTACAGCACTGATACAAGTTCTGATAACTAGAAGTAGACTCAAACTAATCGAGACAAATGAATACAGACTTTGAGGTCAAATACATATTTGTGAATAATATAATTCAGAATTCAAATGTTTGAAGCCTATCACTAACTTTTAGGTGTAGACATCATAACTAAGAAACTAAACACTGATTCTTCTTAATACGAACACAGCTGGAACGTCACAACCCTATAAACATTCTACGCATATCGTGATAACTCTTAATGGGTAGAAAATAATTGACTAAAGTTTGATAGCTATACGGAATACTAATTTGTAGACTAAATTGGAAGCTTTGATACCAGAATTTCATTGGTTTTTCTTGCTGCTAGAAACATTAAATATGACCAACAGTAGCATTGTTAAAAACCGATTTCTTTTCTGGATAAACCATAGAAATCCATCTGATCTTTTGTTGCGAGAACCATGTGGGGGAAATGCGAATGCCTGATTACTACAGAGAACAAGATTATTAGCATGAAAAGCAAACTGTGAAGTCTACACATGAATCCGGAAACTTTCATTTGTCGTTTTCTTTCAACGTAGCTCATCCCTTTGAATTAAGTGTATGAGAAGTCGAGAGTACACGCCATACAACTGATGTCAACAGTGTAGACGGCTCTACCCAGTATTCACTAGCGAGAGATATACTAAAAAATATTTCCAGATTTTGTGGTTGGGTACGTTGGGGCAATACTAACTTATTTTTTGAGGATAACTAACACTACACAATTAGTCAAAGGAGCCAAAGAACGACATACCTACTGAAAGACACATGCCTTAAATGACGTCCATAGAAGAAAACTGAAGCAGTCAGCAGTAATTCTCCGTCCCCAATGGTTGTTAGACTGGCATAAATATACGTTAAAGATACCTTCAAGAATATAAACAAACGGATAAAATTAGACTAATGTAGTGCTACTCAGGTTAACTAAGTGCTACAACCCAATCCTTTGAAATCGCTTAGGTGTTCTATTTCAAAGACTTTTGTGGGACGTAATGTATCTTTATACAGAAAACACTATTTTTGGAAAAGCTAATATGGAAATAATTTCGTCAGGTTTTATCATGATTACATGCTGATGAGCGATCCAGATGTAAAGTAGTTCTTTACTATTGTTGTACAACTGTCAAACAGAAAATCGTACTTTACTTGGTAGTTCTCAAACCATCTCGTACTGAAACTCTAAACTAGTCAGACTTACGGACGGGACTACTCCATCAATCTATTTACGAGATAACGTAATTCATGAGTCAGCTGGTTTTTTAGTGATAATCAACAAGCTATGATAACTTCAAAGGTTAGATAGCACACAATTCTGCATGCAGGTTTATTGATGTGCGATGCGAAATCCATTTTCGTTTACTTCTCCAGGTAATTGCTGACGAATTTGCAACTGTTAACGTGAATGTTACACTCGGTTAACTAATATGAGATCAGGACTCTAAATTCCAAATTAAGTCATGCTTCTGGTAAACCTTGGAAAAGTACCACTACCTAGGACTTCGTACAAAATATGGGTAGTCTGTGATCTTACGAAAATTAAGTTAGAAAGCCGGATCATGTATTTTATGCGTTCATACTTTTAGAGGGATGTCGCGTATGCACACACAACATACATCAGTTGTTTATGTCCGGACTAAACCGTTAGGCTTTAAAGATTTGTATAGTATAGAGGCAACAGAAACTTTCCCACAGGCAAATAGCTTCAACTTACTGAACTGAGGAACTGTTTTTCAAGTACAACATACACATCATAAAATATGAAACAATACACTTAAACCATAATTGAGTTTTTGATGATAATTAGTTCTTTGGTAGAAATGATTAGAACATGTCATCAAGAAACAAAGTGAGAAACTGGAAAATAATACACTGGATTACTCTTCAGATTTAGCTTCAAAGGAAGAAACAAATTTTCGTGAAAAACCGCTTATTAAACCAAATTTTAGATGGCATAGCAAAAATAAGGCTGATATACAAGCATATATATTAGATATATAAATAAGCATAATAAATTAACTACACACAAATTAGTCTAAGTGAAAACTGACTGACAAACAGCAAGTGAATTTAGAAGAGTATCATGAATAACCCATAACTTGAGTGTTCATCTGTGGAAACTAATCTACTCGGTTAGTGAATAAAATTGACAAAAAAAAAAACTGAAAACCCGAATACGGGGAAAATTATTTCGAAGTTTGGTAAAATAGAAATCCTGGGTAAAACTAAGAAACCATCGAGATATAATGTGACAAAACATCCCAGGACTTATGAGGAACAAAAACAAAATAAACTTGAGAAATTTGAGGAAGACTACTGAGAAAAATTCATCTAAATTTGCGACGCTTAGATTTTCCGCCTAAATTCCCTTGCGAATTGCAACTTCCTGAGTTTAGTGAGTGTGATGAATGTATAGGAGAATCTGATTTACGATAAGCGGGTAACAAATTTGGTACAGTCGATAAAATCGGCGGTGGAGAAGAACGTGAAGGACTAGAAGATGAACGCGACTGTTGACGAACTGGTTTGATGTTTGAATGTATGGTACCATCCGCGGATGTTGAGATATTTTCTAACGACCCAGTCGAATTTATTTCCCTCGAAACTGCTGAGTAGTCATCATCTGTCCTAAAGGATTGCCGTGATGTCGGGTTAGATGAAGTATTAGACGAAGATGACAACCCACCAGGACTAGACCGCTGGGAGATGGATCGTGCAGGTCCAGTACTGGATCCATCAGACGAGGAAACAGAAGGGGAAAATGCAGAATGTGAACTAGAAACTAGGCTCGTGGTGTTGCTGTCGGTCGCCTGTCCCCCGACTGAATTTATGGCACTCGTGTTAGTAACGAAATGCATTACTGTGTTAGCACGGCCAAGCGCAGAAGGAGAATAATTTGCCATAGTGCACAGAACAGGTTTTTGTGAATGAAGAACAGATGGATGACTAGACGATACATATTCTGTCCCAGAAGCAGTTCCGGGCTGAAATGAAGAAATACATAAATACAATAAAAGATATTTGTTAAGGTTAATTCCAGAAATTATGTGATATCCGAGCCGAAATCGGATGACTATAAGCAATATGTGAGCTTGGTTTATAATGACGGGTTGTTGCAACTGTCATGTAGAGAGCGAAAGAGCAATGTGCTTAAACCTACAATTAAATGATGGCAAATAAATCAATTATTACAGGAAATCCATAGGTTGATGTCTTATTGTAATATCACTTGTAGTTCAAACTCACATACCAGAAACACAAATCAGGTAAAAAATAAAGCAAACGAACGAGTGATGACTAATGAATGCTCAGGGAGAAAAGTATAAGAACACCTAATCAAGAACGATTGAAATTAAATCCAATATCGAAGTTAGACTTAGCTATTACTACTATATCTAAAATAGCCGATAGTCAGACGTACCACTGTGACTACCACGATTTACCACTTATTATGATTATTAGGATTACTACCGGTCCCAAGCCAAGATAGAGGTAAACATTTCATTGAAAACAATCCTGCTAAAAACCGGTAATCAAAAAAATTCATTTAAACAATTTGATCTCTACTCTGTGAGCTGAAGATTCTTTGTTTAGAAGAGTTATGACGATTCACTGTGACAGTCGAGATTATTTGGAACTCATGAGGTCGATGGCTATTCTGATAACCATAGCAATAATCAATATGGGCACATGGAATGTCCGGACAATGTCGGAGACTGGGAACACTAGTAAAACAGCTGCAGAAATAAGGAGATACAACCAAGTGGTTCACGGAATAAGTGAAACCTATCGGAACCAAGCTGGACAGCAAAGGCTAATCACGGGAGATGTTGCTGCACTCTGGTCGTGAACCAGAAAATGCTTCGCCCACACAAGGACTTACACCGCTGTCCAAAGAAGCATGAAAAGCATTTATAGGATAAGAATCTCATGGATACAAATGCCCTGGTATGGCCGAGAGTGGGGAGAGTTCGCTCTCCCTCTAGAAGTGCTCTCACACGGCCACGCGTATACAGCCTCTGCCAGGGAAGTCCTACTCATTGAATTCTCGTGGCATGGGTGTTGTTTACAAAGATGAGAGAACAAAAAGCGAGTGTCCGGCGCTTTAACCGGATCCCAAACCAATGGTGCGCATGGGCTGGCTCCAGTATCCTGAAGGAACAAATGGCGTATGAGCCAATCGTTGTTCACCGGCTACCATGAGACTGCATCTCCTCACGATGCCCCACTGCCTCGTGGGTCATACTTTTAGGTCAAAGGCTCGGGGTGTGGCTCCCCAAAAAAAACCACCTGCTTCGGTCTGGGCACCCGGATAGTATCACAACTCAAACACAAATAAAGTGGAAATGACGGTATTTACCGAAAATTATGTTCACACTTCGATTAACAGTCAAACAATCCACATTATTATTATTATTTACCACGTCATTTATTCACTCCCTTTTATTCCTACTCTGTCTATCCTCATTTTTCGACTTATACAGCAGCTCGTCCATGCTGGGAATTCGGCTTTATCTAAAAGTTCTCGAGTCACTGCCTGGTTGAAAATTGTATGTTACCACAGAATACGAGTACTGAAGCAGTTTTTCTGAAACCACGTGCACCATTCAAACTGGCTGCCTTCAACGTTCGCACACTTATGCAGGTCGGACAACAGATACGGCTGGCTATGTCTTTGGAAAGTCTTAATATTGACGTTTGTTGTCTATCCGAGACCCGTATTCAAGACTCTGATAAAGTACTACAAATTCGCTCTCCACCTTTCACTTCAAAAAGCTTGCTTTACGTGCGTTTATCCGGCGACCCTGTGGCATTTTCGTCTGGTCTTGCTGGAGTTGGTGTCACACTAAGCGCTAAAGCTGAAACAGCACAAATCAATTGGATCCCCATTAACAGTCGGATATGTGCTGTTAGACTAGGAAGTTCCATCAAAGTGAGAAGAAATCGGCGTGAGAAACGATATCTTTTCGTCATCTCCGCCTATGCCCCGACAGATTGCAGCCCGGATGCAATCAAGAACGAGTTCTACCACCAGCTAACTGTTCTTCTCCAGAAAGTGCGTTCGACAGATATTGTAGTACTAGCCGGAGACTTGAATGCTCAGGTCGGGCGTCCAGGCACAGAAGAAAATCGTTTAGGTGGCCGATGGAGACTTGTTGGTCGCAGGACAGATAACGGGGAACGTCTACTGCAACTATGCACAGACCACAACCTGTTTCTGGCTAGCACTAACTTTCGGCCCAGTCATCGCCGATGTGCCACCTGGCGTCCCCCTTCTGCATCTCAAGACTGGACTCAGATTGATCACATCGCGATCAGCTACCGCTGGCGTGGTTGCGTACAAGACTGCCGCTCATTTCGGAGTACCTATCTGGAATCTGATCATGCTCTGGTCTGCGCCAATCATACCTTACTTTTCAGTGACCAACGAAGTGACCGTCACCAAAGGATTGATGTCAGCAACTCGTCCGAGCCACTGGTAGCAAGAAGTCTGGTGTGAGCGAAACAATCTGCGAGGATGACGGAACGCCAGTAACTAACATCCATCGACGTCTTGGACGATGGGCAGAATTCTTCGAAGGGCAGTTCAACTGGCCTGCTGCTCCGGCAACGTCGGTCAGACTGTCCTGCCCTCCAAGGCCGGTGACCACTGATCCACCAAATGAGGCGGAAGTCCGCAAGGAACTCCAAATCTTGAAACGCTACAAATCACCGGGCCCAGATGACTTACCTTCGGCTCTTTTTAAAGATGGTGGTGGCCTTCTGACTAAGGGACTGACGACGTTGTTTACAAAGGTCTGAGAACTAGAGAGTGTACCAACGTCATGGAATGAGTCGATAGTTGTCCCTATCTTTAAAAAGGTTTCACGTCGTTCCTGTAACAACTATCAGAGGAAAAGTCTACTTCCGATTGCGTCTAAGCCACTGGCTTCCGTCATACTTCGTAGGTTGTTCAAAACCCGAAAAAGATTGACTCGCGAGGAGCAGGCTGGGTTTCGTTTCGGTCGAGGATGTATTGATCATATCTTCACCCTCCGCCAAATGTTAGAACACCGCCATACTTATCAAAGGCCAACAATCGTAGTGTTTCTTGACATCCGGGCTGCCTTCGATTCGTTGGACAGAACTGTTCTCTGGGATTGTCTATTGAAGAAGGGTGTGACTGAGAAGTTTATTAACATCCTAAAAGCCCTATATACAAACACCTCAGGCAGAGTGAGGGCATACAACCACCTTTCTCAATTGTTCCATTCAAGCAGTGGGGTTAGGCAGGGTTGCCCAATCTCACCATTCCTCTTCAACTTTGCCATCGATGACATTCTGGAGACAGCTCTGATGGATGTAATGGCGGTGTAGATCTGTTGCCTGGAGAAAGACTTCTCGACCTTGAGTATACGGATGATATTGTCTTACTGTGCGATAATGCCCAAGCCATGCAATCCGCACTTAATCAGTTGGCAATTAATGTTCGTAGGTATGGTATATGCTTTGCACCCTCGAAGCGCAAAGTACTTCTACAAGACTGGCAGTATTCTAATCCTGTACTCACTCTGAATGGTGAGCAGATAGAAGTAATCGAGAAGTTCGTGTATCTGGGTAGCTGTATAAGTGCTGGTGGTGGCATGAGTGATGAGATCAATGCACGTATAGTGAAAGCCAGAGCGGCTTATGCCAATCTGGGCCATCTTTGGAGCCTTCGTGATGTTAGTCTGGCTGTAAAAGGTCGGGTCTACAACGCGTTGGTGAGAACAGTTCTGCTCTATGCTTGTGAAACCTGGCCTCTCCGAGTTGAGGATGTTAGACGACTCTCTATGTTCGATCATCGTTGTCTCCGAAGGATTGCTGACATCCTGTGGCAACGCCATGCTAGTAATGCAGAGGTTCAGCATCATGTGCTCCGGCGCAGAGATGATAATCCAATTGGTGTCACCATCTTGAAACATCGACTTCGTTGGCTTGGACATGTTCTACGAATGTCGTCCAAGAGAATTCCACGTCGTGCATTATTTGCCGACACTGGGACTGGTTGGAAAAAGCGGAGGTGGTCAGTGTATGACATGGTGTCGTGGTATGAAAGAAAACCGCAAAGGGCTGGCTTGTGTTGGTCCTTCACGTCTCCCTGGATGGGGTCTGAGAGATGGTGTAACACAATGGCTAGAAACGTTATCAGATAAGGCTTGGATTAGAAGCTGGTAGCGATCCTGATATAACCTCCCTTTACTTTCTTCATAGAAAGTGGTTGTATCTTCCTTAACTGAAAGATTTCTTCGGGTTGTACCTTTCCGTCTCCTCCATTATTATTATTACACTACCTTACACTAATCAAGTCGTCATTGTTCTTCTTTTTTTCTTTTACGCTCCTTACCTTCTTTTCTTCTCTTTAAATTCTCATTGTTTTGTGTGGCGCATATATATATTTGGTGCCCTCTTGTACCAATATTTATGTTTAAATAAATAAATAAACAACATGGCCATTAGATAGATCAAGAGTGGCAAAGCAACAGGATTAGACAGAGTACCAGATGAAGCCAGATACAGTGGTAGCTACAAAGCTGTGACATCTTTTCCAGAAAGATTTTAGAGGAACAAGTACTGATAGATTGGAAAGAAGAATACCACATTAAGATTCCAAACGAAAATCTTAGCAAGTGTGAGAACGTCAAAGAAAATACACAACTACCATTTCCAGGAAGTTCTAGACAAAATGTTGACTCGATAGACGCTTACCTTTGAGACCGATGGGCTGGATAGTATACGAAACTACAGATCATTGTTGAGTAGTGAATTGAATGTTATTTTTCATTATACATCAACTCCCTTGCCTATGAGAAAACGTGACAATTTGAATAAGAGAACCTTGTGAAGCCTTCTCCAAAACGATAATGTACATGAGATCATCAAAAACATATGAACTGAATCGCAAAGTTTTGCATGGAGGGCAACTGACAGATGCATTCCGAATAAAAACTGGTGTCAGGAAAGGTTGCTCACTTTCGTCCTTTCTCCTTCTTCTAGTTGTTGACAGGACTGTAAAGACCTCCATATCACACGGGAAGGACGAAATGCATGAACATCTTGGATATGGCTAGACAGCATGGACTATGCAGATTATCTAGCTCTTCTGTTCCACACACCAACAAATGCAGATGAAGATAGTCGATATGGCACCAGCCTCCGCATCAGTAGGCCTCAAAATTTACAAGGGGAAAAGCAAGATCCTAAAATACGATACAGCGAGCACCAAGTCACACTTAAAGAGACGGAAGCCTTTACGTACCTGCTCAGCACCATTGATAAATAAGGTATATCTGATGCAGATGTGAAGGGTAACATCCTTACTGTACATCTGGAACACAAGACAACCGTCACCCAAGACCGGAGTTGGAATTTCTAACACAAGCGTTAAGACAGCTTTACTACATGGAATTAGAACACGGAAAACTACTACAACGAGCATCAACATTAATCGGTTGCGGCAGAGAACAAAACCAGCTTTTAGGTGAAGAGGGAATAAGGAAAACTCTGGATAGGACACACATTGTAGGGATCAAACTGCATCACAAGGTAAGCCCTAGCTTGTGATCCTCAAGGTGGAAAAGAAGAGTAAAACCAGGAAACACATTGCTCCGGGAATTGGAGCCAGACGTCGAAAGAATGAATAGCAGTCTGGAACGACTATGAAGGATGGCTCTGGATGGAGTTTGTTAGAGACTCCCGTTCGGTGGCCTAAGCTGTATGAGTGGCAACAGGTTAAATAATTATGATTATGTAATTGCATAAGGAACGTGGACACTTGAAGCAGTGTGTAAGCAGTAAATTTTTTTTCAGTTTGATAACTGAGGTGGATATTTAATCTGAATGAATAAAGGAAAGTGATTTATGTCTAAAGCTGGGAGTATATCAGCAAAAACAAGAACTTGACATTTATGAAATATGAACAAAATCAGGAAAATCGACATGTATGCCTATAAAAACTAGTGGTAAATTGAATGTGAAGGATGGGTCTAAATCTCGTAAAACAACTACCGTAGAGAGGAGAGCTGTTGATTTCATCGATGCACAAATGTAGGTTACCAATAGATGTCTGAACTGTTAACCGAAGTTAATAATGTAGCTAAGGCCTTTTCACATGAAATTAAATAAATACTGGACTAGAATTATTTCATACAACTGTTCAGATACCACACTCACACATTCTGTTGATGTAGATGACTGGAGTGGATCTTGAGACATACAGCGATACATTGGGACACCCGAAGCTGTTGGTGATATTAATCGAAGGGCGACATTATTATTCGGAGAAACATTGTTAGTAAAAGAAGAACTTGATGTTGGAGTGTTGCACGCCTCTTCGCCATCCATTCGCTGCACCAAACGTTGGAGCTCTTGAACCTGGAAAGATGACGATACAAAATATAAACATGGACCCTAATCTATAAAAATGAAAAGCTGGCACAGCATATCAAATACAGTAAATTAAACCTGAACTACACTTTCAACGGCATGGCTAAGGCAGAAAACAGCAATCATTCATAATATTCGTTATTAGTATGTGTCCGAACACTTCTGACATTCTTACTTATATTAGGAAGTTGCCGTGAAAGAAATAACGTGGCATGTCTGTTTTCCATTCGTTATACATGCTGAACATTGAATATGTTGGACTTTTATACTTGTGAGCTAAGATATACTGTCTAAAATCCTTTAGTCTAGTTCTACCTTGGACTATATGTCATCTAGCGGTAGGAGGTGAAAACAGGTAAGATTAAGATATGACGTGTCCATGGGATTATAAACTTTTATTTTGAGGTGTGCTTTGAGACGTGTCTCCCTGGTTGATGCACGAGAAGCAACTACTGAAGACTATGTAGAAGTGCCCGAAACCAATTATGGTGCGTATTTACTCACAATTCATCTCGCAATTGATTAGTGCTTGTCAATCAGCTACAACGTAGGTCCAGGTACAAATATGCATCGGTTTACGTGTTTATATCAATACATCACAGTACTAAATTACATCCACCTATTTCGCGTCTTAATCTAGCTTTTTGTCATTGCTCTATATTCAGTTGCAAACGTTTCTCTCTTCACTGATAACTCTTGCTGTTAAGATGTGAAATAGGGCAATATAAACTTAGGGCATCCAAGATTCACGTGTGTTTGTAGCAATAATTGACATCTGTTTGATCCATAAAGCCAGTGACAGACGATAAAGATTGTGTGAAGGACTTTAAATGTACAAATGTGTCCGTAGTTAGTAAGAATGCACCCACGTTACATTATTTTAAACATTTGGTTGGTTTTTTACTGAAGTTTTCGTTGCATTGTTGGTAGTTGATACATGTACATTGATTAGTAAATTAATAGAAACGTAGAAACTACGTAAATGTCTAACTGTTAGTTTTGCTGACGTCTACCAATACATCTTAAAAGTCGATTTACAATGTTGGTGTGGTCATAAAAAATTGTTATTAGTCCCACGACTTACTCGAGAATCCAACAGGTCGTTCTGCCGTTTCAGCGTCTCAACACAAACAGTATGGTCACGATTCAATTTGACCAACTCTTCGATGCACTCAACTGCGCGCTGTAGTATAACTGCCCTGGATGCTTTCGATCCTCGTAACCCCGGGATAACTTCTCGAAGGTCATTATAACTTGTTTTGATGCTTGCACGTCTTTTACGTTCAAGTTGGTTGTGATGATCCCGTCTGAAAGTCAACGTAGATTTGATAATCTAAGATTGTTGAAAACTCAAGGACAGGTACCACACAAGCAATGTTATTTATCAACCTGAGAATGGTTCGTCAAAAGTAACAAACCTTAGTAATAATACACTGAAAACCAAGGAAAAGTTGTGTAATAGATTTGCCATATGGAAAATAGTATTTTATAGTGAGGTTTGCAAATCATAGAGAGAATAATCCATCCTTGGACGGTTGACTTCACGGCAATTTAGGATTTAGTGTAGCGGTTAGTACAGATTGAGTTCGAACCTAGTTTTACCGGACTTGATATAAGTAAATATATTGAAGCAAAACAGATTAATTTAACACGATATACGTAAGGTAAAAATAAAGATAGAAATTTCAGTCGATAAACACGTAGTGAGGTTATGGCTAAGTTTGATATATTACGAGACATTGAGTAGGACGTGAACAAGCCATGGCAGAAACTCATTTAAAATTATAGAAACTTCCTAATCGTCCCATAATACGCTAGACACCCGCCAGATATCAACGAGTATCTTATAAATATGTCCAAATAAGGATTAGATCGTCATGTACTTACACAGGTAAAACCAACAACCATGGTGAGCTATCAGAAAGTAACTTCATTCAACACTCTTACTAGAATACTTATACAAAAACACAGGACTGGTTCTGCAACGGTATTCCATTAACACCAAGCTTGGTACCAAAATAGTCATTCATCTTACCTTTTCATTTAAAAGTATGTACTAAACCTCTCATTCTAAGTAAGAGTACTAAATCGCTCGACTAGTTTTTTTCTACCTTGTTGGTGTGAAGAATGCATACTCATCCCACATCATGCGACGTATATGACTGGTACTTTGAACATTGCTGACCACACTTTCACTGAGACCAATGGTAACTAATCTTAATAATTCATTGACTGGTTCACATTATCATACCTTCAAGTGTAGCTTTTTAACGTCCCAGTGTTGTTACTGATAGTAACTGTTTGTAGCATTTTTCCTCAAATTCTGTAAATGATCACCGCCTAGTGCCGTTAATTGGAGAGCACTACAAAATGGTGCATACAAGTAAAGATCCGAACGTCTTCCCAAGCGTATGGAAAGCTTTAACAATCATGTATGCAGTAGTATTAAGTTTTTCTGAAGTAAACATAAACATGTTGGGACACTGGGACTTGTGGTATCCAAAATCACTCTTCAGATTACCCGGATGGCATAAAACGCATTTTTACGACAGTTTTTATTACTAAGGTGATTCCTATAGTAACAGAAGTCATGCAATGTCCGACTCTGAAACGTCAGTTTCGACCACCGAGATTTACTGGAGTGAAGATAAGATAGTACTTGAGTGCAAACTAATCACCAATTGTCTATGGTTTTTGAGGTGAACGATACTGAAAGGAGTTTGGGACAAGAGACGGTACGTAACACTTGTTTTTTTATTAAGATCTATACACTACTGTGGTGAAAACAAACACCATCTAAAACCACCATTCTGTTAGTAGATACCAACAAAGTAATTTGTTCAGAATAATATCGGAAACCACTCTACATCTAATAGACATATATAACTACCACATCACATTTAACTCCAAATACAAGTTTTCGGGTATCCACCTATCTAACCACTACCCTAGATTGTGACTTAGACAAGAAACACATGTTAATTTTGAGAATAAATTACAAAAGTCATTAAAAAACATGCCTGTTGTCTTCGCCAGCCTCGATACAGTACACAGCACCACCTTCGCTGATAGATCTCTGGCGCCGCAAGTCAGCACTTTTGCCCTCACTCCCAGTATTGCCAAAACTGTGGCTTCCGTAGCCAGAGGATCCAGGTATGTCATCTTCATCGTAGTCACTGAGTCCTTCATACCCATCAACATCGTCATCATCCAAATCTTCGTCATCAACATCTTCTTCGTAATGCTCTTCATGCATGGCTTTCTGAGCGTATGAATTTAGGCATCGAGCCATCACCTTTATTCTCAAACTGCAGGTGCTTTCTGCAAACCTTGGACCATGTTCTTAAGCGGGGCCTTAAGCAAACCACGAGCCGCCAAAGTAAACAAAGCTACTGACCCAAGGTCAGAGTCCATCTTTAGTTCGCATTACTTTGTGTTTGTGAAAGTGATTTCAAACAAAAACCAAAAATGAACAAGTCTTATAGTTTTACAGCCGGCCGAATTGACCTGTATAACATGTTTTATCTCACTGAACTAAATAACACACTGTGAAATTAATACAACAACACATATGAAACTGAATATATCCAGAATAAATTTCTAGTAAGTGTGGAAATAGTTCAGATGGTTCAAATGGTTGTGGACGGAATAGAAGAAGCTTTTGCTTAACAGGCTTCCGTGTCTAGTAGTAGGGGATCACCAATACCTCCAGATAAGAACCTAGGTATTTTAACGATAAAAGAGAAAAAAATAAATTGATAAATCATAGTATGATACTATCCTTAGTCCTTAAGAATAGATCAGGTAGCCTCTTAAAGGACTCCTGGCAATTTGCTTGAACTAGCTCAGCTGGCAGCGAATTCCAGCATTTCACAACTCGTAAGGAGTAGAAGTTGTGCCTGCAGTCCGTTCTGCTATGTTGTATCTCTAATTTCTGGGTGTTACCCCTTAGGTTAATATTGGGACTAAGCTTAAGTAGGTGTTTAAGAGGATGTCCAGAAGTGTTAAGGATACTGTAAGCCATTAGAAGGTCACCTCTAAGACGCCTATACTCTAATGGGTAAAGGCCAATTGATTGGAGGCGCTCTTCATAAGGTTTAAATTTGAGTCCCCGAACTAATTTCGTGGCTCGCCGTTGAATACGCTCCAGAGTGCTCTTATTCTTTTGGAGTGCAGGAGGGAATACTATGTTTTCGTACTCTAAATGGGAACGGATAAAACTGTTGAAGATTATGTGGGAGGTTCTTCCGTCAAACTGACCAAAAATGAGCTTAAATGTTACCAGTGCCAGGTTTGCTCGAAAGGCATTTCTGTCACAGTTAGCGTAAGACTTTAAGTCGTAGGACACCAGAACTCCTAAATCCTTTTTGACTAGGGATACTACTAGAGAGAAGTTTCCTAAGTTGTAACTGTAATCTGCGACGTGTCGCAGATGGACTACTTTACACTTTGAAGTGTTAAAGGTAAGTCCGTTGTCGCCTTCCCAACTTTGAAGTCGAGTCAGATCCTCCTGAAGTGCCTGTATGTACTCTTGGTTGAGTATCTCTCTCCAAAGTTTCACGTCATCGGCAAAAGCAATAAGTCTGACGTTACCTGTTGAGGACGATCATTTATATAAATCAGGAAGAGAAGAGGTCCTAGTACTGAGCCCTGGGGGAACCCACTAGGACATTCCATAGCCTGTGAGAAATTGAAGTTCACCCTGACCCTAAAACGTCTATTTGTCAGATATGAACTGAGCCAATCAATTAGGGGTGGTCTGATACCCAATTGTCTGAGCTTATTGATAAGATGTATGTGGTTAACCCTATCAAAAGCTTTTGAGAAATCAAGGTAAATGATATCCACCTTCCCCTTGCGATCAACGATGCTTGTCCATCTGTCCACCGCAGTCAGCAGGTTGGTCATACAGGAGTAACCCTTCCTGAAACCATGCTGTTGGGGTGAGAAGAAATTTAAGGACAGCAGATAGTCATGTATAGCATCGTATACCAGGGACTCCATGATCTTTGAAGGTATAGAGAGAAGAGCCACCGGTCGGTAACTTGAAGATTTGCTGCGTCGACCTCCTTTGAAGATTGGTGTGATATGAGCCAGCTTCCAAATATCCGGTAGTTCGCCTCGACTTAGCGAGTGTGAGAACATCACGCTAAGCGGTGTTGCCAGGATTGAAGCTTCTTCCCTCAGTATAGCAGAGTGTATCATATCTGGACCAGCAGAAGTGTTCGTTCTTAGGCGCTGCGGTTTCCGGAACACCAAGTCAGCGCTCAGGTTCACTACGGAAAGTCCTGTGCAGTTTCAGATGAAGCTGTCATCAGTATAGTTGATGTGGGACGGTTGAAATGTCCGGGAGTATTGCTCAGCCAGAAGGTTAGCGGCGTCACCGTCGTTATCGTTCGGGCCATTAGGACCTAGCAGTTGAGAAACTCCGGTTTTGGCTTGACGAAGAGAGGCTGAGTAACGGAATAAGCTTTTCGGATTGGAAATAAATTTATCCATAAGCTTTATCTGGTACTGAAGTCTGTCTTATCTTATAGTCTTCGTGCATATGTTCCTTATATGTTTGTGTTGCCTGTACGCGCTGTTGTTGTCAGTTCGTTTGTATTCTGCCCAACAGTGCCTTTTGAGGCTTAGCAAACGAAGAGTGCGGTGACAATTTTGAACCTCAAACCTTGTTGATTGGAAGTAGAAAGAGGCTTCTTCCCCGAAGTCTGATCCTAGTTAATATGAAATAATTCTCAAATACGAAAAGTTACACTCTCTGTGATAACCATTTGTTGGTAGTTAAGTCCAGTAATTGATAGACGGCACACAATGTAGTCTACCTCAGGACTATTAGAATCTTCCTTTGGACAAATTAAAAGATGTTGACCCTATACTCACAGTGTAAACTCACTTAAGGGAAGTCCTTTGTAGGTTTTGTGTATTCTACCTCCAGGTAATCCATTCATATACGTTGACGAGTGACACAAAGCAATGATACGTTCAAATTTACTGGTTTGTGAACACTGTGATGGGCCACAATCATATTCCCTTTAATACTCCCAGAATGTAGTGAATGTGACATTAATAGGTATACGTGAACTAGAAGCTTACGTAGATGATCGACTGGACTATAGACCCTAACTTCCTTGAGAAACTTACGTCTTTTCGAGCCTTCTATCAAGTAATTCGGTTTCTTCTTGGATAAGAACGGATGGCTCCAGATTCAACTGACATGGAATATACCCCTAAGATCCTGACATTTACCCAGTAAAATCTTTTATAGGAAAAGTTGGTCGCTGAAGTACGTTCCTCACTAAAGTGCAGTGAGCGATATTCCCCCTATTCTTAACAAATAACTAAAGGTAAATCATAAGTGTTCAGATGGACACCAAGTGTGTTCTGGTAAAGTCAAGTCAATGTCTAACTAGAATTTTTTTCAAAGCACCTTCGTAAAGGCTCAAAAATTATTGTAGCGTCTGGTCTGTTCTGTCGTGGAGTTGAAGTAGTGATATTCCGCACATCTTCTGTCAATATGGATATTAAACTGCTGCGTTGGGAATAATTCTACTATCAATCAAAACCACTAGCGACTAAGCAAATGCTCTCTAAGTTAATTGGAGCTCACCATGTTGGACTGAAGTGGGAGGTAATTTTGGTTAATACGGTTGGTATAGAAACCAGTTCTGAATTAGCAAACGTCATCGAAGACATTTCTTATGGATAAGGCGACGAAAGAGAACCAAATATTTTAAACCCAGTCTCACGTAAAATGGGTGGTCTTCGTAGATCAACTTTCAATGGCTACATTCATTTCAGCAGTCAGGCTATCCATGTTGATCACTGATTCCCCTCCTATTTTTTGAATACGATGTTATCCTAAAAGGGTTACGGTCAGTAGTGTTTAAATAAATGTACTCAGGACATTCAAGAATAAATCGAGTGATATTACTGGGACAAAAACATTTACGTTTGCACTACTTAAAAACCCGAAACGAGTACCTATTTTATCACTGCTTCACATAAGTAATAGGACACTGTTGAAGACAGCTGAAATCATAACAGCAGTGTACACACTAACCTTTCTGTACGACATGGTTCAATAACATATCTTCCCGTATTTGTTCCATACAGTCAATGAGATATTCGACATAAAGATAACTATGATGCGTTTTGTGTTTGCCAAGAAAAGGGTTAGTGATAGCGCAAATCATTCCACATCTGACGTCTATTCGTTGAGTTTCGTTATTCTCAATTATTCATGTTCGATCACTGCCGTTTAGTCGTCAGTAGAGGGGGCAGATCACACGTTTCGCTGGTACTTTTTTGAAACCTTTCTACACCATCTTAAAGGAGCAGAGATCCAAACAGATTCTAGGAGCAGGAGTGTGTCACATGTTTTCACGTAAACATACTGAATATCATGGTACATTTTTCCGTTAACTTAGTTGTTAGATGAGGCATTTTGAGGACATTTTTAACATGGTCTACAATTTAGCTGTCAAAGTTTCATTATTTGTCAGTTTTCTCTGTCAACTTCTACATCATACAACTTCTCACGTCAAGGTAAATGGGGGCCGGTCATAAACAACACATAACCCAACCACCTCAGTTAATGTAACTCTTTGAAACGCCATTCAATGACAGACATTGCAACAGAATCTTGTGACCAAAAGAGTCGGTCAAGGTATACAATAGCAGTTGGACGTCCAAAATTATATCTATCTTCCAGAACTTCATGGGGGTGAATACTTGGTCTTTACTTCCACATTCACATCAGAAACAAGACAGAATTCCTCGGGTTTGCTCTTCACCAGCCCTAGCCAGGCACTGAAGTAATATTAAGGCTAATATGTTAGACACCACATCAGTTAAACTGACTCTTCCGTGGCTAAGACAAGGGGGTTTTCATTCTTTCTTATAAACTCGGACGACCACATATAGAGACCAGTCAGGGGGTTGACGTCCAGTTTATGGATTTTAGATAGGATCCCAGCTAATTTAACTGCCGAAACTGAGCCACCTCACTCTAAAATCCCAGGGGTCAGTTCATCAGGCCCTTCTACTTCCTATTGCTTTAGGTTGCTTATATCCTTTTCAACTTCACTAAGAGTCAATGAACTTAAATCAATTTCCCATTCATATTGCTTGGAGATAGTGAGTAACTTAAGTGTGGCTCAAGGCCAGTTGAACGTTTTCCTAAACTATCCTGCTTGTCGGCTCAACCTCCTGGATTGAGAATCGATAACAGTCCCGGCCCTTCCGAGATAGTTTATATACTTCTGAGGTGTGCCATTCAGTGACAGACAC